TGGTTTGGATAAGTTCAGAAGTGCACGGATTGGGAAGGTCAGGGCCTTACTGTGCTGCAAACACACAGCAGTGCATCCTCCTCCTTTGTTTTCCTGCTGCCTCCAATTGCCAATCAGCCATGAACTGCTAACTCCCAGCAAGATGGTTTTCCCTACTTCTCTTAAACTTCCCTGTGCTGTGACTTTCTTACCTTGGTCAGGAAGGCTTGGCGTGACTGCTCCTCAACCTGACTTTATCAAAATATTGCTGCACAGTTGAAAGTGCGGTTGTAACTAAAGTTTTCTGACAGTTTTTCCTTGAATCTCTGTTAACTTTGGTTTAAGAAACAGCAGGAGCTTAGGCTGAGGCTGCTCCTGGGGATGTAGGCATTGCACCGGATAAAATGTAGCACTGGGAAAGCAAGCTCGGCTGGGTTAGCTCTGCCGCTGACCCGCTGCCTCTCCTCCGGAGGAAAGGACAAGAGCGATACACTTGGCTCACTGTTAAAGCAGCACAAGTGCTCCAGCAAGAGCTGAGAATTGTAGCGGGCAGGAGGCGGGACGCATCTTCTGGGGCTCTGCAGGCTGCCTGTCCAGCTTTAAACACTGACATGGAACACTGTGTTAGAACAGGAATGAGATCACATCTGCCCAAATGCAGGAAGCCCTTAACAATTCTGTGGAGCGGCATGAGGAAGGTTAGATTTCCTCTCTGTAATTTCAGTGGGTTTGATTTGCTTGCAGTGCACAAGATGTAATGATCTGCACTGCTTACCTGCAGCTCTTGCTTGGAGACCCTCCCTTAGCAGCATTTTCCTTCTGAAGACAAAAGCAACTAAAAGGATAAGAAGAACTGCAGCTTTGGACTGTTGAAGTTTGTCATTGTCATCTGGATGTAATTGCAATGAATATAGTTGCCTCTTTTAGTTAAAGTGGTGTATTTAATTTTGTTCCTGATGGTTAAGTCTGGTTTCTGGCCAGTATGAAGTCTGCAAAGAGCACGTGAGAAAGGCTGTCATTGCTGCTTTGTGCACCTGGGCCTGCATTAGGCCCTGTCACAGGTTTTACAGCCATGGCTTTGGAACTCCCAGCCCAAGCTGTCCTCACACAGGCATCCCCAGCTCTGTCACACACCTGTCTTGCTCTGTTAGAATTGATGCAGGGACAGCATCCTCCTTGCATCTTGTCAGGGTGTGCAAGGCACTCATACTGCTCAAATGTGCAGTGGCAGCTGGAGGAGCTCTCATGTCATGCATCCCTCCTTGGAGGTTTTCGGGAACCATGGAGATGCAGCATCAAGGGAATTATTGGCATAATGGCATGGTGGGAATGGGTTGGTGGCTGGACTTTGGAGGTCTCCATGATCCTTCCAGCTTTCAACACAGACACGACCCAGGTGGCCTTTCCAGCTACCTGCCATAACCAATGATTACTTTGGAGAAATTGATGTGCTCTACAATTTCTATCTCCCCTCTGCTTGGTGACAGTTTCTCCTAACCATCAAGTCTTCTGTCCTTATGTGGAAGATTCTCCCCCTGAATTTTATGTAATCCATTTATCCAAGATATCCATGTTTTGTAGGATACACGTATGGGTGTGTGTGTGTAAAGCTGAAAGATGCTTCACCAGGCAGGCGAGAAGTTGGATGTTGAGTCTTGTTTGAACTGTAATCTAGGACAAAACGTTGATATGTTTTAGTAATGTAATAAGCACTTTAAGGCTCATCATTTAATGTATTTTAATAACCGTGGTGGCAGCCAGAACTTGCTGCTGGTGGCAGTGCTCTCCAGAGGTCACGTAGAAAAGCTGGGCAGAGGTGCTGAGTCAGGAAGGTGTGGGTGAGTTCCCATGCTGGGCTCTCAGGAAGTGCTGACATGTCCCACATGCTCAGGGCAGTGCTGGGCCATGACTGCTGTGACCACGCTGAGCTCTCGATCCCTCCAAGCTCTGCTTCTGTCTCCATGACCTGTGTGACATCACGGCACAGCAGTGTCACACTGCGGGGGTTCTCCTCTGGGTACCATTCTGCTGCACCAGGAGTACTGCGTCCGGGTGAGTCTGTGTCCTGGGTTCTGCACTGCAGGGGGAGATGCTTTTAGAAAGGACTTAATTCCCTTTAGCTTTTAAAACATGCACTCCTGCGTTATATCCTCTGTGATGCACTGGGGGAGAAGTGCCTGCTGTTACAGTTCGAGGTTCTTGGCAGCTTTCCTGTTCATAAGATGTGCAGCAGGAGCCGGTAGCCCCATACTGCTGAAGTGGCAGTGAGGAGTAAACTCAGTTCTCACTTCCTACCAACAACTCCCCAGCAGCACTGGATGTCAGCAGTTTTATTTAGATACTGGTATTGGTTTAATTTGATTGTACTATAAATTAATAAGTCCTGATTGCATTCAATTGAACTCCTGCTTTACTTAGTCCTGTTGCATTTATTGTCTTAAATGTCAGTGCTGCTACAGATGATGGAAACAGATTTATGCATCCTCTGCCTGTGATCTCTGGATTGCTATCTGTACTGATGACTAAAAGCTTCCCTAACAGAACTGTGATTTTTCTTTGTTTTTTCTGGACAAGGTTTCAATTTAAGCAGGAGGATGTTCCTAAAAGCTGCTGCCATTGAAGTGTTGGTGGGGTAGCTCTGAGTTCTCTGCAGTAGATGTCTGTGCTGTGATCTCTCTGTTGTAACTGCTGCAGATGCAGCAGCTCCAAACGGATTAACCTCGGGCAGAGTGGTTTGCTCAAGCTGAGAATGTGTCCAGTGCTGTGTGGTATCTCTGAGCTGCTCTCAGCTGTCTGCATTCAGTGACAGCTAAATCCAGAACTTACTGAGGTTTTGGTAATTTGGATGGACAAGGTATGGCAGCTTTAGTTTCAGCAGTTCACGGCAGCGCTGTGCATCACTGTCTGACTGCTCTTTGTCATACTTGGGTCTGTTAAATGAGAGCTGCTCAGGTGGCATTGCATTGCCACCACCGCCCAGGGCTGGCTGTGCTTGTGCCAACAGCAGCGGCTGTGGCTCTGAGGCAGGGAGGCCACACCAAAAAGACAAGCTGGGTGTATGGCAGCTCTTGTTCCCTTTCCTCTGGTGGAGATGTGGGAGGGGAGGTGGCTCCGTGCTTCCATTTCTGGAGAGGGGCTGCAACTCACAGCCGGTCCTGCTGCGCTCTGGAGTCAGTGGTCCTCTTGTTACACTGGCCGATAGGAGACTGTTGCACTTCTGTGTTGCTGCTCTTTGTATTTGTTTGGCACACTCCAGGAGAGATTGCCCACGCTCACCATCCCAGACCCAGCACAGTAAGCCAAATGGAGAGGAGTTACCTTCAGAAAGATAAAGGAGAAGTGGCCCAAGGAGAAATGTTAATGTCACAAAATTGCCTTTATCTTGTATCCTAAGCAACAAATGGGACGGCCAGACTGAAAAACCATTGCCTTCTCAAGTGGAAGAGACGGTGCTGTGTGCCAGGAGCCATGGGGCCACCTGGCTGTGGTGTTGTGGGTGTTCCCAGCTCCTGGGCAAGGCGTCCTTGGTGGAGCTGTGGGTCAGCAGAGGGCAGTCCTGCCTGGCAAGAGCTGAGAGCCTGGAGGTGAACGAAGATGTGCTCACTGATGCAAGGCCGATGGTGCCCTGCAGCAGGGGCTTGTTGCTGAGGCAGTCCTGTTGTGGTGGATTTGGCATCTTCAGTGTAACATATGGTGTATTTTCCAGGTAAAATCAAGTTGATGTTTTTCCATTTATGAATAATGCTTCATGGATTTGACCAAGTTGAGTGCCTAGTGCTGGATAGTTGTCCAAAGCTGCTGATAGCTCTGGATAACTTATTTCCTAGTCTGTTCAATGAATGTTAAGGGGAGAAGGTAAGACATCCCCTGAGCCTAAACTAATAAAAAGTAAGGCTGAGTTATCTGACACTGGACTTTGTTCAGCTGAAGAATGCGTCACAGGACAGGCGCTCAGTTCCTGACAGTGACTGATGGATGTGACTCAGACTCTAAATGGCAAACTGGTTCTTGTATTGATTGAAATGCATTTGTGTTCCTTGCTGAGGGAGAAGGGAAAAGTTTGATTTGGTGAGTGCAGATGCATTTCCATATTATGCTACTGTATGAATGGAACATCAGTTTTCAATCCATCTTGTTTCCCATCTGTATACAGTGTCCACGCTTAATGAAATTGTGGTACTTTTAAAAGCAGCTGATTTCATTTTCATATAACACAAGAAGCTACAGTATGTTTTTTCTCCTAACAGTTTTTCCCTTGGAACCAGCAGATGCTGTCAGGTTTAGGTCTTATGTGGGTTTCAGAGGTTCCAAACTCTGCTGCAGTGTAAGCACAGCTGGTAGTGAGTGAAGAGTGTAGTAGGCTCCAGTCTTCTCTGAAGTGTACAAGTTTAGTGTCAGTGCAATAATAGATACTTATTTTATTAATTTCTAGTCTGCCTCTCAGCCCTGGCAGACTAAGTTGATGAAAAACACTACATGCCTTCCTTTCCCTTAGTCAGTAAAGGATGGGAATGGAGAGCACTGTTGGAGCTTGGTGGAGAAAAAGCATGTCCTGATCATCTGGAGGAACAGATAGAGGGGCTCCTTCCTCAGTTGTAACGGAAACAGTGTCTGTAATGATGTGCAAGCCACATGACTTTTGCTTGTTAAATTAGTCATAAATCCACATTGATCAGTTCAGTGATAGTCCCACAAAGCCCAAGCTGTCTTCCCACATCTTCTCTCGCCATGGTGCAGGATGAGCTTTACATCAGGTGCCAGCAGACCTACCAGCCCCAGCTGGAGCTGGGCTCAGCCCCTGTGCCTGCACATGCCCTGCTCTGTGCAGCAGGCCTTGGGAGCTGTGTCACAGGTTGGTCCTGCCTGAGAAGGCTGGGGGATGTAGTGAACAGAGAGAGTGAACATTTTGTACTCCTTCCTCTGTATTTTATAGACCAAGCTGAAGTATTTCTTACTCCATGGTGCTGTACTCTGCAAAACAGGCATTACTGCCTGGGAATTGGTGTATGTTATGTGATAGCTGGGATGCTGAGGCACTAACGGGGCTAGAAATGGCTAGAGTTTGGAAATGTCATTCATCTTGCTGCTGGGATAGAAGGCTGTAGCCAGTGGGGTGGATGTGCAGTAGTTTCCTGTTAGCAATGGAGAAATTACCCAATCGGCCATCATTAGATCTCAGTTGTTGGTGCAGTTGTAGCACAGGTCTGGGGGTTTAACAGGGTCAGTACTTGTGAGAGGACACCAAGGTGAAATGCAGAAACAAATGCAATATTTGTATTTGTATGCGTTATCTGTGCAAATCAGTGCATCTTCACCAGTGCAACACTGCTGAGAAGCAGATGGAAGTCATGCTGGAATACGGATGTGTTACTTGAGTTTCCTGAAAATTTTGTGGGAGAAACACTCCTTGCTTGAAGCACTCGGGATGCGTAGCTCTGGGGGTGTTAGCATGGGCAGAAGGACTTCAGCCCTTTGGAACAGCAGGGTTTCAGTGTGCGTGAAGCAATAAATGTGAAGCTGAAGCTTTCCTGCTTTCAGTAGACCTACATCTATAGGAAAACGAAGTGGCTATTTTCCTGCCATAAGAATGAAATAATCAGGTGTATTGCCTTTAGAAGAGGGGGTGAATTTCTTTCAGCAAGAAAATGGATTCTTTTCAGTAAATAAGCTATGGTGAGCACCGTGTGGTAAATGAAGTGTTTTCTGCCTAAATCAATCATCTTTACAGGCCTTCTTCTGCACTAGCACGTTGTGATTTGACTTAGTGATGGTGCAGTCCTTGCCCCCCTCCCTTGATCCTGGTCCTTATGCCCAAGGCCTGGTGCACACAGTGAGGTGTGAGAGACCTTGTCCTTGAGACTAACAGCAATCAGGGTTTCACTGAGACAGTTAACCACCACCGTGCTGTCTCACACCAGGCGTACAGACACCCAGTTCAGTAGACCCAGTTCTTAGTTGCATGAGTGTGAGTCAATCATCTTACCCCATAAATAGCAAGCAGCCCCAGAACCCCTTGGAGAGTTCTTGCTAGCAGCAGGCTGCGCACCAGCATCACCCCTTGAGTAGGGACACCCAGGGAGGTTACTAAACGTGTGCACAGAAATTCACCAGGATGTGGTGATCCCTTAATGACCGGTCATTGGTAAGTGAGTTACTGTTTTTGAGCTGTACTGGCTTTGCTAAGATTTGAGCTTATATTCATTGTGCACCTCCCACCCTCTGTGTAGCAAACAGTCAAGGATATTCAGCCATTTCAAATCTTGTTAAGTTACTGTAATCATTGTTCAAATTACCATCTTAGATCTATTTATATCAATAAATATATTTCTACCTTCTTCTTACAAGTGAAGTGCACAGTGCTTTGTTCTTCTTCCATGACAGACTTTATTATAAAAATAAGGGCTTTGAATTTTACACTATTGTGCTGTAGTTCCTTCCACAGATTTTCATCTGGCTCTGCAGGCAGGTGATGTCCAACACGGTACAAATGTTGGTGTTATTTCTATATGCTTCTTCCTGTTTTCTGTTGTGATGGTTCAGGCTGTACTGTACAGTGAGTGGTTGATCTGTTTTGCCCTGTGCAATGTGCATTTCACTCCTTCAGCCTCTAGGGAGACAAGGAGAAATGAAGGGACACGCTACTGATTTAGGAAGAGCACTGTGTGAATTGAGCAGAAGTAAGATGCAGTGTTTTCTACTCCTACTGAGAGTTTTCAAATGTAGTTCTGTCAGGAGCTATGGAGCAATGCTCAGTTCCAGTTACCTGTTGGATGGCAGGCTGGAAATAACAGAGTTACACAAATGGGGAATTTTAGGCAAAGCCACCTGGCTCTAGCATTGGATAGACATACGAAATTGTAGCGGAACTGGAGGTGCTTAGTGCTGAAACGTATGTAAGAATGCAGATTAAGATGATAAAATATATTCTTCCCTCTAAGAAAGAGGGTTGTTGAGCTAGCGTTGTTACTGGTATACAGCTACAGGTTTTCTTTTTTGCATTTCTGCCCATCTGACTTCATCTTCTAGTTAATAGACATGTTTCTTGGTTGTGTTAAATGTTTGTTTCATGATTAACTTGCCTAGAAATCATGCCATTTGCTGTGACATAATGCTCAGGTGTAAGATAATCAGGTTAGCAAACGTTTGCACTTCTGCCATGCAGATGAGTGTCCGTAAAGCTTTGCATCTGACGTGCACCCTTCCCATGCAGTGGGTCACTGAGTGAATACTGAAGCACACAAGTGCTTTGTGGGCACAAAAGAAAATGAGTACAACAGATTTTCTGCGATTTTTAAGCACAACTTTCAGCATTACCCAGAGGAAGTCCTTTGGCTGTCGCCATCTGTGCTGGCACAAGCATTTTTGAAACAGGGTTCAGATAAGAACGTGAGCAGGTGGATGGATTAAAAACTGTTGGGTGCGTGCTGTGCAGCGTGGTCTGCTGGGCTCTGAGACCCTGTGGTGTCTCACTGGAGGTCTGCAATGGATCATAGATGGTCTGGTCACTACCTGGTAAGTAGGGACACAGCCTGGCCACATCTTCTGCTGGGCTTTGCAGCGGGAATTTGCTCCAGGGGGATGTGTAGTGTGGGGTAGGAGTGAGCAAGTGGCCGTGGCTTCTTGGGATCGTGCAGGCTAATTGTGGTTTAATTATGTGTGGAAACCATAGCCAAGGTATCCAGAATGCTCACAAGGCTTTCAAAATTGGACAGTGGTACTGTCTGGAAGCAGCCAACCTGTTGAAGTAGTGTAGTCAGAAGGAGCAGGAGGTGATAGTCTAGCTGTGCTCAGCTCTGGAGAGGTCTTGAGTACTGTGTTCAGTTTTTGGCCCCTCACTATAAGAAAGACGTGGAGGCCCTGGAGAGCATTCAGAGAAGGGCAGTGGACCTGTGAGGGGTTCTGCAGCACAAGTCCTACGAGAAGCAGCTGAGGGAACTGAGGATTGGAAGCATCAACTGCACCCCTGGGCCTTGTGGGCAGCCCTGAGCCTGCCCTGGGCTCTGTGTGCACGGTATGGGCCATATGCAGCCAGCAGATCATTTTCCTTCTTGGAGGCTGGATTTTATTGCAGTAACTGACATGCTAATGAACGAACTCATAATTAATGTCAATGAGAATGTAACTCACTCGTTATTAACTAACATAGTGATCTTGAAAGAAGTGCGTGGGGATTTGTGTCGTCGTGTAATGAAGACTGAGTGTGGAAAATTGAAGATAGAACAGGAAAAATCACAGAAAACTAACAACTGGGGAAGCGTGTACAGGAATTTACAGCATTAATTGTAGAAATAAGAACTGCAGAGCTCATGGGTGCAGCAGGTGAATAAGCTCTGTGCAACATCTGCCCCCATCACAGAGGTGCAGTGTGATGAGTTCATTTGTCTGAGCAAAGGAAAGCCTCGGATCCTGAAGGAAGCTGGGGATGTGGAGCTGGGATGCTTGTGGTGTTGTCTTACTTTCAGCTGGTAACAAAGAGGAGGTTTTGCATGCTGTTGCTTGTAAAAATGAGGCTTGCATAGAATGCTTGCTCTGATTACTTCCTCTATCTTCTTTACTTCCATAAACACTGACTTCCAATTTGAGGTGCCAGAAAGTGTGCACTATAGGGCACAGTAAAAAGCGTTTGCCATTACAGTATGTTGTAGATCAGTAAAATAAAGCCCCAAATGCTTTGCTAAAGCATATCGTTTGCTTGGGCACCAATCCTTTGGGGAAGTCCCTAGATCTACTAGTTATGCTCCTAAGGAAAACGTGTTTCAGAAGCAACTGCCTGTGTTCTGGTGCATGTTCTTTCTTTCATCTTTTCTCCTCAGATTTGGAGAACATTGCTACGGTTGCTATGATCCCACCTGTTTCCTCTTTTTCCTCCTGCTTCCCTGCACACCCAATTTTATGTGTGCCAATGGAAAGAGCTTAACGCGCTTTCCTTCTTGGAGCTTTTCTTATCAAATTTAAGCTTTTCAGGCATGATAAAATGCTTCTGCAGTTAGGGAATTGAGTGGGACTCAAAAATAATCTTTTTCTTGTTGTCCGAGGATTATTCTGGTGTTACTGCTCTTGAATGCAGACAACACTGAAGATGAAACAATGCTATTTGCACATCAGTGTGCACTCACTGCAACCAAAAATTTTGAGAAATTAACTAGCAGCACTGAATGAGCACACACAGCAGATAATGTGTTCAGAATCCTGTAGTCTGGAGAGAAAGATTGCTCAGTCCACCTTCCTCAAGATTTCAGACCAAGGTTTTCAGAAGAAAAGCTCCTGCTCCCCCTGGCCCATTGCATCCACAGCACTTGAAGGGCAAACTGAATTTGTGTGTTTGAGCCCCCAGTGCTGTGTGGCCCTGCAAGGCTGTAGGGCTGTGGGCTTTTGCAACTAAAGTGCTTGCTTAGGAATATAGGATCCAAAGCTGCAGTGGGCTCAGAGGTGTTAGCGTGGTTTGTGATGATCTTTCAGGCCTGTTTGATGCAAGCCTGTTCCTTGGGGAGACCTCACCAGGTTGGACTTCTGGCTGCTTGGCCAGTATATGCTTGTCCTGACAGCTGGGTCATGGGCATGGTGCATGAGGCAGCAGGCATCTTCCTCTCCTTCTCACAAGGACACCTTCTCATTTAGATAGCTACCAGTCACAGTGTTGTTTTGCTCAGCGGGTGACACAGCCCACTGCTACCATAATCTTGCTGTGGTCCATCACAGTCTTCAGCTTTGCTTTCTTCCCCTGAGAATCTGCAGAAACAATCCAGCCCCATATGACAAAGTGCCTCCTGCACCTTAAGTCCAAGGATTAAAATTAACCCAAGTCTGGGAACTGCAGGACACATTCCTAATGCGCGCTGCTGCTCTTCTGTGGGAGAGAAATAGCTGGCACAGATCATCTGCAGCACAAATCTCTGAAATAAGTTCTGCAGAATTAAAATTCAGGTGAGGGTTATGCAGATTGCCTTATTTGAATATTGAAATCTTCTTTAGCTTTTTGATGACTGCTTTATCATTGTTTTCCATATATATGCAATGATGCTCATTTACAGCCTTTCCCCAATCAGTTATACAGCAAATACCACTGCTATAAATAAAATGTCATTTGCAGGAGACAGAGTTTTGTAAGTTAAATGAGGAGGAAATATTCCCTTTGAAGAAATGTTAGCCATGATCAGTTCGTTTCTGTGCTGGATTATTAAAAGGGGTGGGTGAAGTGGCTATTCCCTGCTCTCCTTCCTTGATGCTGGTCAGGGGATACTGGCTTCTTTTTTTTTTGGTAGTGTTTCAGGAAGATTGTCTAAAAAAAGAAGTCTCTGACCACTTCTTTGTGTGCAGCTCAGCCAGGGACAGTGGTCTGCTCCCAGCAAGGTGCAGAGTTGTTTGTCACTGGCCCTGGCCGTGCCCTCACATCTCCCCTGCCACGGCTGCCCTCCGAGTCCTGCCATCAGCCTGTTCTTCTGTGCAGCAAAGAAGCTATTAGTGCTCTTTTTCTCTTACTCTCTTTGTTTTCTCAGCCAGGTCATACTTTGGCTTTTTTGGTTCTTTCTCCTTACTATGCATGCTGACCACTAAATAATTCAGAATTGTTGGCCAGGAGATATGTCTATCTAGATATTCAGTATCACCATCTCTGCTGGTAGTATTTCAGTAGCGTCAGTAAAGTTATATTTGTCACTGCTGGGCAAAAGCAGAAGTGGTGCTTCAGGTCATAACAGCAAAAATAAGGGCACGAGTCACGCAGCCACTCATCAGCCCCTGAGCTGCTCCCGATCATCATTCTGCCATGGGCTTCCCTGCAACTTCCCTGCAGGGAAATCGCTTCACTTCCTCAGCAGCTTGCCCTCATTTACGTGGGAATGGTAAATGCGCTGTGCTGGTGAACCTTGTGGGGTCGTTTTTAAAGTTAGACTCAGGGCTTCTGGCTTCTTCAGACACTGAGAAATTTCCTCAGCAGTGCTGGCTTTGAAAGATATAGAGCAGCCCAGGTCGGAATTCATGTCTTGGTAGCAAAACTGCAGCTGTTTGAGTGCAGGAAATTCTATAAAACAGGATGGGGGCTAGGTAAGGAGAAGAGCAGGAAACTCAAACTGCAGGGAAGCTGCTTCCAGCCCTCTTTTTGTTCAAGGGTATTTAAATATGCATTGTAGGAAGTTGAATTTTCTCTCACCTAGGATTTCTGACTTGATTTAACAGTCTTTTCTCAAATAGTTGGGATGGAAGACTTGCATATGTAATAAAGAAAGGAGTTAGTACTTCCAGTGTTCACATTTGCAGATCTGAGTAAAGTTATCCAAAGCCTTCAGTTGCATTCCTCATGGAGATGTATTCTCTATTGGCCCTGCTGCATAACAGAATTGTGGTTTAGTTTTGGGCATCTCCCCCCACTTGAAGATGACAGTTTATGGTCATGTTTTTAAATGAAGGAATACCTCTGAATAGGAAATGATATGCATTCATGTCAAGGCCTGGTGCTTGGGCAGTACTGAGAGCTCTCCTTGCAGTGACCATCACCTGGTCACCATGGGACCATCTCCTTGCAGGAGAACATAACACCTTAGCTTTCAGCTTCTGCAGACATCTGCTCTGTGCTGACACATTGGTCCCTTTTCTCCCTGTGCAGCACCATCTCGCAGCAGTCTCTTGCAGGGCTGCCCTGCCCATTGCACTGTTATTTCATCCCACTCCACTACAGCTGTAGCCATAAGACACTGCCATTCACAGTGATGAAACACAGTGAGATTAAGCTGTAAAAATAAAACCTGAGGCACAGAAGTCCTGAAGTAACACTGAGCCCCAAAGCCTGATTCTGTCAGGAATGCAGCTCAGCAAGCCTGGCATCCTGACCCTGGGGAGTTTGTAGTCTCCTTTACTCCTGGGTCTCATCTGAACCAAAGAGCTGCTTGTTGGCACTTCTGGAAGCATGGCCTGAGCTTCACAGGTCTGGGTGGTGAGAGCTTCATACAGTGTGCAGGGAGTGCTGGTGTGGCTGGCTCCTTCTGAAAGCTCCTTCTGCTTACCCTGTCCCAAACACATCAGCCAAAGGCTTCAGCACTTGAGGCCAGTTGATAGGTTGAGGGTTAGCTCTTGGTTGGAGGTGGTACCCAATGCTTGCTGGGGGAAATGGTGCTTGGTTTCACACCAGGTGTGGTTTCATTCCCTTTGTTTTGTGAGCTGTGCTTGCTGCCAGGTAAGCTCACAGAGAAAACCGTGACTTAGGAATTTGTTTTGGTCCAGCTCTATGTGATGAGTGATTTTGGTAGAGCAGCGCAGTTTCCTATTGCATCTGCAGCTCTTACAAATGTGTGTTGTTTTTTGGGTTTTTTGTTGTTATTTTTTTTTTAGTGCTGCTGCTTGTTAAGAAAGGCTCTCTGACAGCAGTTAGACAGATGGAACTGCAAGTCAGCATAATTGTGAACTCAAAAACAAATCAGTTGGGCGTTAGCGTGCTTAAAAACAAATAATATGTTCTTAGTTCACTTATTTTAAATTGAAATGATTTAAACTGAATACAGTACAAAGCCTACAAAGTTAGAGACCACCTACTTTCTATCTTACTTTTCAAACTACTGCGAATTGGATTTACTTGGTTACTTGCTCAAACCAAGACTGTAAGAAGTGTGAATGAAGTGCTACTTCCTTTGTTGCCCCCAAATATCAGTGCCAGTATTTTTAAGATACAAACCTAATGCTTAACTCCAGATTCTGTTTTTAAACCCAGATCTAGAAGAGTGTTGCTCACAAGCAGTAAGCACCAGAGTGTGCCTATTGAAGTGGAGTTGATGAGTTCTGTGACTGGGTGTCAGTATGTAAATAGGTAGGTTTAGTTCCTAAGCTTTAAACCTCTGCAGTATTGGGGTGAAGGGAAATAAGTGTCCTAGGTGATGAGACCTGAGTGGTTGTGCTGGTGTCTGGGGAAGAGCTGTTCTTTCTGTGTGTAGCTGGTTGTTTGGAAGCTCTTCTTAGAAACGGGTATAATTTTTTTTTGTATCATATACTATTTCAGTGACATGACAAATGAAGTATGCTTTCAATACCTGAAAACATTTTATGTGATTGACTTTTTTATTTTTCAAGTCAGATTTGCAGGGTACCTTCCTTCCCTTTCCATTTCTTTCTCCTTTCATTGCTCTGCTGTCTGTAGTGGTGACATCCATTAGGTGGTAAAAGTTCAGCTTCTCCAGAGTGAGGAGTTTGGCTTCAGCAAAGGCTTTGGGAGATGCTGCAGGGTTTTTCCCTTTGCATGGTGTGAGTGTCCTGCTAAGATCTTGTTCAAAGACTTTCCTATAACATATGCACAGAATATATGAGTTGGCAAAGAGGACCTGTTTGAATAAATAGAGCCTTTTAGCAGTGTTATGGAGGTATTTATTGTAATTTAGTTAAAACTGCACTGACCTTCACATTTACCTGCAGGACTGACATCTCTCATGCATTGAAAATTACTTTCCAAATCTGTTCTAACAGATATATTTTTGCAGATTTCTCCAGTATTGTTTGTTAGTGTGTTAGTTGTCTAAAATATGTGTGCAATTAATGTATTTTTTGGTTTGGAACAACTTTCACACAGTGGATATCTGAGTTTAATGTCCTTAGTTGTGTCTATCTGCTGCTACTTTGTCTTCTACCACTTAGCAGTGGAATTGCTAGCCCTTGGCTCCACAGACAGGACCTGGCTTGCTTTTTACTCTGGGAGCTAGTAGCTGTTGCAGCAAGGTGCTCTCACAGCCTCTGCCTGGTTGCTGTCTAGGTCTCTATCTGGCATATCTCAAATCCCATCCATTGTTTTCATGCTGTAATATGGATGGTACAGAGTCTTCAGTTAAAACTGAGAAGTCTGTTCTGCCTTGTTTCTTTGCTTGGCCACTAACTGCCAGTATTCCTGTAGCCAGTATGCAGGAGAAAGTAGCTGGAGAAGGCAGAGGAATGCTAGAGTGGGTAGCACAGCATGGGCTGGAAGAGCAGATCTCAGCATTTGTTTAGTTGGAGCTGAGTGCTTCAATGTTTATTAACCAGGCTTCCCAGTTTTAAGTGCATTATGTGTCCAGAGGAACTGCTGTAAGCCCTAATTGCTATTGATGTTTACATTCTGTGTTCTTTCTAGGACATCTTTGCTCCATTTGTATTTTCCCAGGAATTTCTACAGAAACACAAGTGAGTGAGGTTTGTGTTCTTTAAATGCGCTTCCTTGGAGGAGTCTCAGTGTTGCTGTTGCGGTGGTGTGATGGACAACTTGGAGCTGGCTTGTACTTGAATGGATTGAATGGAGGACACACAGAAGGGTACGTCTTAGATGAATGCCAGTCAGCAAGAGGGGGTTGCAGTGCCAGTGTGACAGAGAAATACAAGAATTTTTTAGTAATTAACTCTGGTGATAGCAGTTCCCATATAATCTTTGTGTTTGGTGGGTTTTATGCATGGGGGCCATGTGGGAGCTGCTTGGATAAGAACACTTGAATGTCCTTTTGGCAGACAAAAAAGTAAAAAAGGGGCCTTTGCCTTGTCTTTGGGAAAGCTTTCCTTGCAAAGAGCAGGAGTTACACGTTAGAAGAAAGATAGGTATTGTCCTCAAAGGGACAAAAACCAGATTGACAGAGACTTCCTAGAGAAATTTTGAACATGTCTAATGAAATAACTTCTCAGGGGGATAACTGGCTGCAGGTTTCTGCTGCCATTGCTCTGGGGCAGGTTGTAGCTGTGAGTGGCTGACTCCAGGCAGAGCTGTGGAACAAGAGCAGGACGCTGAGATAGTGCTTGGCCTCATAGAGGAGCACATTGGTATGGCTGGGCTGGAAGAGGCAGCTTGGGGCTGGGATAACCCAGGTTGGTGAAATCAAATAGGCTAGGTTTGGTCACAGTCTAGCAGCTACAAAAACCATGGAAGCATAGCTACGACTGTTACGTATTTTTAAAATAGCACAATAATAAGGAGGGTTTTGCTTTTGTTGTGTAGCTTCCAGTATGCCACCAAGATGGCTCAAAAGAAATGTTGGTCACACCTACAGTAAAAGGCAAATCAATGATCTGTTTAGCTTTGATAAATCCTTACGGACGCAAGCGAATATGCCCCTCTTTACAGACCCACTGTGCCATACAAGCATGTAGAAGTAATACTTACTGGAGGTCAACATAAGGCTGCTGTTCTCTGTGTTGGACAGGGAAATTTCTTCGACAGCTGACACTTTTGTGAAATTGGTAGCATTTCTTAATTGCTTTGTTATAGAAGCATCAAACTTTCTTTTGCCTATTTATTGTTGACATTCTGGGCTTTGCAAGACTGTCTTAGAAAGATTTACTGTGTTTGCAAGAAAGAAAACCAAAATTGCTGTTTGCTAGTCACTGAACAGCACTTAGAATGGCTTGAGAAAATTGAAACTCCATCATAAATTGGAGATTGTGAGGCATCTCCCACTTTGTCTTTTGTCTGTGGAGGGTCAGGTGCTAGGGAAGCACGTGCTTGTGAAACATTTTGCTTGTACAGATGAAAGATAGAAAACATGTCAGTGTTATCCAGGCTTCCAACTGCTAGTCACTGAAGACTGAATTACAAGGAAGGTCTTAAACCCTCTCTTGACTCCAAAAGACTTAGAGAGACAGGAGTGTGCCTGAAATCTAAGCCATGCAGCGTGCATTGCTTGTGGGACTTGGGCGAGCTGCTTATCCATGTGCAGCAGCAGTGCTCGTGCAGACCTCTGCTCGTGTGTGAATTTTAAACAGCTCCTTCCCACTGCAGGTTTTAAGGATTGCTTATACTGTTTAGAATATTTGTTTGCTTTTGCCTCTTTCAGTTCTAGGTTCAAAGAGGAGATTTTCAAAGCAGCAAACTCCTCCTGCTGGGTCCTGGGCAGAGGGCAGCTGGTGGCCATACCGTAACCCACCTCTGCATTTCCCCCCAGAGGATATGGCCCTTTCCAGGAACCAGTGACCTTTGATATGGGGTATCTGGGCATTTCTGTACTGTCAGTATGTTGCTACAGGAGAATGAATGAAACTTGCACTGAACAGCTTGGTAGCTTTGGAAGCTTCTTCAGTGCTGGGGATTTGGGTTCTGATTTCCAAATTTGCTTGCAGGGTGTCTTACCTTGTTTTTTTTTTTGTGCTGAACATACTAACTAATGGGAACTGCAAGCTACTGTGATACAAATCTCACCAGTATACCTGGAATGGATTTCCTAAAAACATTCCAGTACATCTAGTACTACATTGCAAGGAGATGAAAGGTAAAGTTGGTTCCTACCTGAGGTATTTTCTTGTCATGGGTTCTGCTTGTGCTATGGGATTCTTTTAAGTAAATTCTATTGCTCAAAAGGAAGACTCAAAGGAAAATGCTTATTTCAGAAGAAACATTTCAAAAGCAGCTCCCATCCCAGAGGCCCTGTTCATTTCTGGCTCCCATACTGCTGGCAGAGCTCGTTCAGAGCACACTCCCCATGCACTCAGGGTGGGTGCTGTCCCCAGCATGGTCTTCTCTGCAAAGGAAGAAAAACATGAATTTCCCTTTCCCAGGCTGGGGGACCGCATGCCAGCCGTGACGATGGCCTGCTGTGTTTGGTGCCAGCACAGGGCCTTGCTGTGAAGGAAGAGTCTCCTTCCAGCTCACTGTGTGATACGAAATACGGATCTTAACTATAGAAGGGCCCTTCTGGTAGACATGTGCGTTGGTGAGATGAATCAGGAATATCCCCCAGAAGGTTGGAGGTGTGAGCACTGGGGCTTGGCTGCTGTTGGTAGCTGAGGAGGGGCTGCTGTGGGCTCCCCCCGAGCTCATTCTCCCCAAGCACCTTTCAGGCTGGCAGCAGAAGGCTGCTTTGCCATGTGGCTCCTTGTGCTGAAGTGCCAGCAGCAATCCACCACGGACACCGGGCCAAGTGGGATGTGCTGAGTAGGGCATGGCTAAAAGGACTCTTACAGTAAAGAAGTTATCTTCTTTACTTCTTCTAAAGAAGTTATATCTTTAGATGAAATGTGTGTGCTTTCTCTCCTAAGGAACACATAATTTGTGTTTGCTTGAAATGAGAGGGCATGGGTATGTAGGTGTATGAGTGGGCATGGGACTGGGAGGACCTTCACCTCCTCTCCTCCCACTCCAGGTATGCTCACAGGACAGCTGCAAGACAGCAGGATGAGCCCCATGGCAGAGCTGAGGGTTTTGGGTGCTGAGGAGCTGCATCCCCTGCTCTGACATCCCATGCCTGTGCTCCAGGCAGTGCTTCCAGTGCACACGCAAGGCTTTGCAATAGATTTTGCTGGATTCTTTTGCATGAAGGAATTTGTGCAACAGGACCCTTGTGCAGTGCCTTGCCCAGCCCCTGGGAGTCCCGCGTGTCCCCTTGTCTCGTGTGTTTTTTGTTTTAAAATAATATTAAGCCTCAGACGCCAGCTGATTTACTTTAATTCAACATCCAACTTATGTTTGATTTCTTTTCATATTCAAGTGAGCCATCTGGCTTTAATGAACTGTAACTGTTTTTAATGCTGCCTCCAGTTGCTAACATCTGAATATTTCATGTGCTGAAAGGAGGTTTGAAATACAGAAGTGAGACTGAGGAGTCCAAAGTGTTTCCAAATCATTTTTGCTCCAACAGCACTCGTGCTCCCCTCCTCTTGAGGTTTATCAGAAGATAATCTTTGGGGTGCCAGACTGTAAGCATCCACAGTGGCGGGTGCTAATTACAAGTGCTCTTACTGTTGTGTACAGAAAACAACAGTGCTGCTTATCGAATCCTGAATAGCTGCCCAGCCCGGGCAGAATATCAATCAGCTTCAGCAGGAGCTGCCAATGTTTGGCATCTTTTAAATAAACAGCCTCTTAATTTTGGGGATGTTTAAATACTTCCATGTTGCTTAAAAAAAAAAAAAAACACAGATCAGGCTAGCTTTATATTGTCTACTTTAATTCTAGAAGTTAACTGAGAGCTGGATACCATAAATTGAAAAGAACTTTAACTTCATATACCTTTTGAGGTACTTTGCTAGGACCGCACTGTTTGAAACCAGCGGTATATCCCCACCTTGTTGGCCTGGGTGCTTCATGGGGTGTTTGTCACAGCACTGCCACTGTTTTGTCTTAGCAGTGTGCAGGTGATGGGTGTCCTACAGGCCGTCACCAAGAAATACTTTGATTAATAATAAAAAGCAGTTTGGTGGTTGCTGCGTGCCAAGCTTTGCGCAGGTTATAGAATCACACAGCCACTAAGGTTGGAAAAGACCTCCAAGATCTTCCAGTCCAACTGTCCACCTGCCATCAGTATTTCCCCACCAAACCATGGTCCTCAGTACAACATCTAAATGTTTCTTGGACACCTCCAAGGACTCCACCACCTCCCTTGGCAGCCCGTTCCAGCACCTGACCGCTCTTGGAGAAGAAATGTTTCCTAACCCGAATCTCTTCTAACACAACATGAGGGCATGATATGGAATCATAGAATGGTATGGATTAGGAAGGGACCTCAAGGGTCATCAGGCTGATCTCTTAGCCCTGTTTCATAAAGGATAAAAGGAACTATAGAAGATTAGACTGAGGCTGTCTGCAGAAGGAAACCACCTTCAGCTGGGGTAGGTGAGGAACGTGCTGCTGCTGCAGCTTGCCCTGCACTGTGCTGACCGGAAGGGTGTGCAAAGAAGTGATGGTGGCTGGTAGAAATTGGTAACTCTACTTGGTGGGTCAGTAATGGCATGGAGGGACAAAGTGTGTGAGTGAAGCTAACTGGTGCATGCGGGAGAGCCCAGCCAGGCTGTGCAGTTCCCTGAAATTGATGCCAAACCCTGTGGCTCAGTCTGCAGAGCAGCTCTGTGTGGAAGCACTTTGATTTGAGCTGTTGAATTGAGCTGTGTGCTGGGGCCACCTCGCAAGGCTGGGAGCTCAGAACACAAGCATTTGCATTCTGCTGCACTCAGCATTTTACAGTTACCCTATGGAAATCCTCCACAAACCCGGATTACAGAATTTTGGGATGATTTTTTTCCCCTTTTGTTTTCTGCCCTCTGCATACTCTGAGAGACCTCAGAGGGGTCTGGCAGGCATAGGCACCTCAGGCCCTTTTCATAGAGCTGCTGCTTCAGGATACTTCCATTTCTAGCAAGGGGGCAAATTTTCAAAGGCAAAAACGTGGTGTTAGAATTTTTCAGACCAGCTATTAGTCACAGTCTGCTTATTTGAATGTCAGTACAAATGGAACTGCAGCCTGCAGAAAGCTACTTAAAGTTTGCTGGTGTTTGTAGTGGGATGCAAAACGATCTTTTAGTCATTTGTAGCCATCTTATGCCAGGTCCAATTACAATCTCAGAAGTGAAATCACAACTGCACCTCCAAAGCATTGCCATCATGGAGAACATTCACCCATTTCTGATGCTCGTTTTTGTCAGATTTTGTGTTTCCATTTGCTCAGCAACTGGTGTTTCTTAAGGATTTGTCTTTGCTATGGCAGGGGGTTACTATATTTTTTAAAATCTTTTAAAAAAATAAGAAAAGGGAAAAAAAAAATCCCTCAGAGGACTCTCAGGTGGTCTTCTTAGACACCCCAGCTAAATAAAACTCAGAAAAATGTCAGGCTTTGCAAATGTCTCCAGTTTCCCTCTTGAAAACCGTAGTTTCTCAAAGCGTGTTTAAGTGAGAAATGCAGCCTTTGTTTTTACAACCTTCGGCCTTTTTAGGGGTCTGCAAGTCCCCTTAGTTTTTACAAACTTCCTCTGTGTTACTTCTAGTGCCTCACGTAGAAAAGAAAGAAAGAAAGGAAGTGCTTCCCAGGCATTCAGCAGGAGTGCAAAGGGCATTTGAAGATTACCTTCTTTAAAAAGCATTTCTAAACTTAAAATGTGGGAGCAAAAACACTTGCAGTGGGCTGACTTTAGACCTCTCCTTTTACTTTCTACCAGTAATAACAAAACGATTTGGTTGCTCGTAGGAATTGCAGTAGTTTGGTGCTGAATTCGGTTCCAGCAGAAATCTCCTGCTTACAGGTTTGAAAGCCACGGCTTCTCATCATGGAATGTTTAGGGCTGTATTTCTGCCTTCTGTCGTTTGTTTATTTAGTTGGTTGGTTTGATCTGAAAGGTTTAAAAGCTTGGTTCTTTTTGCCTAATAGACATTATGGGCAGGAATACCTTTAGACTGTATGACTGTGGAACACTCTGTCTACGTGTGTGTGCACTGTTTTTGATGTATTTCAAAAGTAATTCAAGGCCAATAAAGATTTTCAAAAGAGTATTTCTTTTTGCCTTTTTTCAGGATCCCTTCATGAATGTCCTGGCTGCCAGCAGGATTTAAAGTGGGAGGCAACTCATGACCACTAAACTGTGACAGTTTTGGATTCTCTTGCTTCTGGCTACTTGGAATAACCATTGGGCTGCTGTGGAGATGAATGGAGAACAGCGGCATGATGCAGGTAGTGGGACGGCCGAGCTGTGGGGCTACGGGTTCTCAAAATACTTGACAAGTAAGAGGGAGGAACAGCCCTGAGCACAGGGAGTCTTTCATAGTGTGTCGTATGCTTCATTCATGGTGAGCTACGTTCTGACTGCAGGTCTTAAGTTTGCCAAAAGCAAGGTGTATCATTGGCTTAGAGGAGAACAAAATATAACATCTATGATTCTATGACCCACAGAGGCGATTATGTTTGTTAGAAACTCTGCTTTTCCCCTCCATGATGTCAGTATGAGATGAACTTATGGAAAGCCCAGTAGTTTTAGCACTACTGTTTTAAGGCATTTGCTTATCAAAGTAGTTAATATTATCTTCTTGTGCCCTCGTTTGTGTTGTTTGTAATATTTTCACAAAGTCGTGCTGCTGGTTTGAAGCCAGATAATTGAAGCTGTGTGGTGCCACTGTAATCTGTCCTGGTTTTCTGATGTGCCTTGCTGCCCCTTTTGATGAGCTTGGGACATCAGCTCCTAACCTGCTACAGAATGGTAAATTTTGATAAATTAGCTCAGGTTTTGGTTCACCTTGTAGCATCAGGCTGAGAAGAGTGTCTGGGACAGCTGGGAATATACCAGCAGCTTTCTTAAATAGAGTTCTTAGATTATATGCTGTAATGGGGATCATCTGTTTTTCTGACTTTTCCTGCCATGGTTTGTTCACTTCCCTTGAGGTCCCTACTCTCAGTATTGGGACAGTTAATAAAAAATAAATTTGTTGTAACCACTGCAAACTGTTGGATTAGGATTTCTTTCCTTTGACACTTGTCCAACAAGCAGCATCTCATTAGACAATTTATGATTAGTGAGCTTTCTGCTTTTACCTTATGAAAGACTAATTACTATGTTACTGAAGAAATGTTAAACATGATTTTAATCTATGGCACTTCTGGCAGAATGATATCACCTGCTGTCTGATGCCAAAATGTGCTTTCTGATTATTAATTATAGCCAATCACTCAGGTTATTGTCAACATTGTATCCCAAAATAAGCAAGAAAAAACAGCATGCATAAATATGCAGTTTCCTCTGCCACTGGAATGTGCTCTCTTCTGTCATGTAGTGTGGAAAAGAGAAGAGTTTTTGCAGCTCAGAACAGCAAGGAGATGTGCAGGTGCTGAGCAGCAGGCTGACTGCACATCCCTCTCTACTTCCTCTAAAAGTTGCAGAGGTCACACAGTCCTCTCTATGTGCTTATGGAGTAGCTATGGAGGGTTTCCCATTTTCTTGAAATGACTGACCAGCTATTTTCCTAAAGTTAGCATCTGGTTTGAGTACAAGTGGGTGTGGAAAGCAAAAACAGTAACTGAAGAGAGCGTTACGTGCTCAGTTCAAAGACAGGCTCCAGTAAGTGTTCCCCATGTAAACATGTGCACAGTAGTTTTGGTGTGGTCCTGTGATGTGTTCTGCACTGTTTTGAGTTAGACCAGTCCCAGCTCACTCTGAAACATTCCCTCCTTGTTGTTTGTCATTTTGCCATCTGATGTTTTATAGCAGTTTTTGGAACCTCCCCTCCACCTTTTTGTTGTTCCTTTCTGTTCGTTTCTTTACTGGCTCTCTGCATATGAGGACCCAGGCAGTGCTCAGGGTGTTAGCTGTAATGCCCTCCTGTGCCAGCAGTGGAAGTGACAGCTTTTGTCCCTGTCACAGACTTCCTCAGCTGCCCAGATTCCAACCTGCCTTTATTTATTCATGGCCCTGCAGCTAGTGTTGATGGAAAAGATTAACTGCTGTTAAAATCAAATTAAAGTACATCTAAGTTGCAGGGTGAGAAACCTTTAAGTTAGCTTTAATTGAAGTTCTTGCAGACTTCAGAGGGATGTACTTAGATGTCCAATATGACAGGCTTCAGCTCAATCACATTAAAGATGCATGAAAGTTATTCACAGGGAGAATTTAACTTGAGTCCCAGGAGCAAAGCAGCCTGTACTCCTCTCAATTCAGGCACATGTAAGGGCTAATGCTCTTAGTAATCCCCTGCCTTGTATCCAAATGGTACCATTCAGTGTTCTTTCTCTGCCTGAACCTGTCAGAGAGCAGCAGGAGATAATTTGTGGTAAAATTCAAAAAGGAAGAGTTGGTGTTGAAAATGATGTTAGTAGAAGCAGCGATAAATGGGAAGGGAACTTCAAATGTTCTTACAGGTGGTTTTCTGCCCTCCGGAGTCAGTGTGCATTCTCCACAGAAGCTCTGTGGGATGCTTCTCACATTTTACTTACAAAATAAGTTTGCTTGATTTGAAAGCTTTACGAGCAAAAGCCAGTTGTATGGTGAGGCCATAGGGATGAGAACGGCATCTGGTTTCTCTGCCTGCCTTTGCCACGGTTGTGCTTTGCCACCAAAGTAACACGTGCTTCAGCCATCCTGCTGGTGCAGAACAGTATGTCCCACTCATAGTGTGAAGCTTGTCTCATTTGGCACTTGTAAGCAATGAAGGATACGGAGAGAGAGAGAGGGAGAACATACGTACACGTGTGTATATACAGCATTACTTTAAGCAGTTGTGCTTTAAGATTAAATGGGCTGAATGTGTTCTTCCTTGTTGTTATCTGTCATCCTAAACTGCAAGTTTTGTCATGGCAGAATTCAGTTGCTAATGTAAATTCTTGACGTTTCCCTGGGTCGTTTGAGTTTGGGTTGATTTGGATGTTTAATGCAGGCCCTCAGGGGTGCAGCTTGATTTAACAGATCCTCTGTGTGCCCCAGGACCTGCTCACCCACTGAATGGAGCCGAGCTGCTAGGGCTGGTAGAATGCAGTAACAGAATGGGTCAGAGCCTCAACTGGAATGGGGCTCTGCTCTGCTATAGCTGTTCTGATGGTGAACAGTGGAAGGATGGGATCTACCCCTGATTTCCAGGCAACTCTGCTGTGTGGGCAATGCTTTGCCACATCTGGAAGTGTTTCTGCAGTTGAGTATAGAAAACCAGATAGTGTATTTCTGAGATATTGCACATCTGCAGGACCATCCTAAGGGCACCTGAACTTCCCTCTGTGAGGCTGAATAGCAGAGGTGCAACGCTGAGAGCCCAGCCTCATCCAACTGCAGGGCCCTACCTGTGTGTGAGTGAAGGCAGAGTGGGTTGAGAGGGGTGGCAAAAGCTCTGGGCGATTTTTTCAATCAAAAGAAGACCTCTGACCCTGCAAGGAAACCCTCTTGGCAGCGAATGTTGAGCAAGAATTTTGGTGGTTTTTTTTTTTTCCTGTGGCAAACTAGTTTCCAGAGAAGCTGAATGCTGGTGGGGTTTGGCCACGTTGGGCCCTTCTGGCCATGGCAGAGAACTGGCAGGATGTGGCTCTCTTGGTGTGGGAATGTGTGTGGAGCTGGGAGCAGTGCTGTGAGACGGGCTGTGGGCGCTGTGCCTGGGGTGGGAGCTGGTGGGAGGTGGGAGCAGCAGCCAGCAGGCCGGGCTGCTCATGGGTGCTTTCTTTGAGCTGAAGTTTCTTCCCATTTTCTGAAAGTAAGCATTTTTATGGCTATATTAAGTAAAATACTGTTCTAAAGAGTTAAGCAATCGTACTCTGGTTTTGCAGTGAGGTTATATTATCCGTAGGATGACGTGCAGCCAGAGCTTTGCCCCGCTTCATGCTGGCTTCCAAACAGCTGCTCTCTGTGCCTGGCCCTCTTCGCTCCCCCAGAATCTGTGAACTAGGATTACTTTTGTCCTTTTCTGGGTCTGTTTCTTCAGTAAGTTAAAAAAAAGTATCCCATCAAATAGATGATGATTTTCAAGCTCTGATTGTTTGAGCTCTGAGTTTTACAGGAGGCCAATCTGAAAATAAAGGGAAATTATGTTGGGCTGGGGAGTGATAGGAGCTACCTGTCATCAGCAAACAGCACAATTTGAAGGTGCATTTCTGAATTCAGCCAATTGGCCATTCCTACTATTATAGTGAGAGTCAAAGATGAGCGTAACATGAATTTGAAGTCTGAGGACTTGCAGGTTTTAAGTGATTGAAAGCTGGTCAAAGTTTGGGCAAACATTTGCCCCTCTCTGTTCAAGGGATAAGAAGTGCTGTAAAGCATGCTTGGCTGATCTCACCGTGCGCACAGCTCAGATGATGGCATGTAACAGTATCTCATCCTTTCTTTGGACACTTAGTATTTCCTGCTCCCTCTGTTACTCTTTGTAAGAGGAGTTTCTACCTGTCTAATCCAAGCTGAGCGCAGGAAATGTTATGCACTGAGCTCTCCTGCATGGCCAACACACGGAGATTTCTGTTCTCAGACACAAACCAGGCATTGGTTCCCTTGTACACAGGGGTGAACACCTCGTGTTTGTTCACAGAGGAGGCTCTGGAGCAGGCTGTAGGATCATGTGGAAATGAAAAGCTTTGCTTGTGTCTCACTGCTGTTCCTTTTCATTACTGAAGCTGTTGTTTTGTGTGCAGCACAGTGAACAGAATAGGGGTCCAAATCTACCCTGCTGGGGTTTTCAGTGGGTGGGTTTGCACATCAGAGAGAACACAAGTGGACGGAGGAGCAGGGAGGTGAGCCAGGAGCTGAATGGGAGACTGTGAGGAGGGACAGATGTGGTAATAGGGATAGAAAATGTGGCTAAAGGGGAGCACGCAGCTCACACTACAGATACTCTCTTTCCTGATAGCATGATTGTACAACTACGGCTCGAGTGGGTTTAGCCCATTTTGGCTTTAAATACCTCTAGAAATGAGGTTTTCTTGCTTTGAAGAAGCTGTTATACTTTATGAGCTGGTATATTTAATGACTCACTTGAAAGCTCTTGATTTCAATTGTTCAGAGCTGTGTTTCTTGAAACTCCCTTGAATTCTTCTCTATGCTTTTGGTGTCTTTTAACACCGAAGTAAATACCTTCTAGCTTAAAAAAAGAGAGGAGTCTTATTGCAATTCTTTTTTAAGTCTGTCTTTTCAAACCACTTATGGTATTACATTTTCTGTGGTAGTTTTTAATTCAATACTTCGAAGGTCTGGTATGCCCAGAATTGTCTGTCTTTTCCTAAATATTTGTTGGAACGAATACAGAACTTACCCTGTACTCCCCTCTCTTAGATGTGTAAACAGTTTGTGCTTAACCAAAATACTCAAGGTCTCACTATTTCAGAACAAATCCAACTTAAAGTGCCCGCCACATACAAGTGAAGGTGAAACAGTGTTATCTGTTGTGAATTGCATTACTGAAGTCCACTGCACATTTCTGTGGTCAGTCACCTAGAAATGAAGTCATCTTTGCTGAAATTCTTAATAGCCCCATACTTAAGCTGACAGGTTGCTGAAGGTGTTTGGCTTCTCTTCCAGATGCTGGTTCTGGTGTGGAAGACATGGAATTCAGTTGGGATGAGTATCTAGAAGACACAGGAGCGGTTGCAGCCCCTCATGGGTCTTTTAAACATGTGAGTAAGGGAATATCGTTACTTACTGTCTCCAACATCACTTCTTTATACACTGAATGTTTAAGGTTTCTTTGAGCAGACGCACTGAAATCTGGAAGATCCACTAAATTTATGCTTCTTAGAGGAATGGGAAATTTGGAATTTCACCTTTTTTATTATTATTTCTTGCCTTCCTTTCTGAACATAGCACAGAATGACCCCATTAATGGCCCAGGTGCAGAAAGGCTCCCAGTCTTTTCTGCACCAGAGGATAAGCTCAGTTTTTCTCATGAAGCCTGAGCAGGTGCCAGTCTCTTGTTTTCTCTGGGGGATTTCTACTTGCCAACTGAGCTAGAGTAGCTGCACTTCAGCCAGTTGGTGCCATAGTTCTTGAATAGCAAAAAGCAGAATTCAGGTGTGCTCTCAAAGAGCATTTCAGTGACGGTTCTCAAGGAGGCCAAGGAGAAATAATAGCTCCACCATACACTTGACTGCAGTAGTGAGAATACTGATCAGAAAGTGTAACGAGTAGGACAAAGTCTTGGCTTTGCCTTTGAATACCTAGTAAAGATCCTCAGTAAATGCACGTTTTGCTGAGATTCTTCCATACACTGTAACTGTAAGTTGTTCATTCAGTGCAGGCTTTCAGACTTCTCATTTCTGGAGGGGAGAGACCTTACATTTGCCTTGGGTTTTGTTGGTTTACCAAGGCTCTAGCAAGAGCAAGCAGAGGTGCTGAGGAATGGCGTGAAAGTAGAGCAGGGGCATTTTGTAGCAGGACTGCCATCTGTCTGCCTCTCTGGTCTCCTTTACCTTGTTTGATATCTCTTATAGAAGCCTGTCCTTATCACTTACAAATAATTATCACACCAGCCCACCAACCTTACTGTAATGGTTAAGGGAATTAACATGGTGACTGTATTTCAGTCAGCAGTAGGAGACATACACAGAATGACTCTGACACCCCTGCCTGCTGCCCTGTGCCAGCCTAGCTGTGCCACACAAGAGCTCCCACCAGTGTCCTTGTGGGCAATAGGACCATGAGGGCTGCTCTGAAAGTAACGCCTCCTATTTTATTATGTTAGCCCATGACATCAGAGGCAGGTGTTGGTGGGATGGCAGTAGAGCTGAACCTTCCTGCCTGTACTTTGTGTCATTTTGTCACCGTGTGACAGATGACAGCAGAGGAGCAGTCTGACAGAGTGGCATCTGACATGGAAGTGTGTAAGAAGTAAAGGTGTGAAATTTATTTCCTCCCTGCTGAAATAATGGCACCCATTGACATTTGTTGACACTTGCTGAATGTTTTTGGAGCATTCCTTATGTGGGTGTGAGCAGTGATGGGTGAGTGGTGTGTTTCAGCAGTGGCAATAGCAACTGTGGTCACCTCACTGATACAGATTGTTACAAGCAGCATGCAGGCTCTTGTTCATCACTGGCAAAAATGCTTCAATAAAGGTAATGATTATATTGAAAAACAGCATTTTGTAGCTAAGAATTTGCTATATCAAATAGTGTTATTGTGTTCTTTGTATGTTGTACTTTCCATGGAAATAAATGGGAGGCATTATGGTTGGAATGACCTACATAGAATGAAGTTTAAAAACAAATCCACATCTTTGGGATGATTCCCTACTTGTGAAGAACACTGCACATTTTTGCTGATGTAAGTAATAGTGGCTCAGAGAGCTCTTTGTGGATCAGGCATGGGCGCAGCAGTGTCATCCCATGCTGCTGTGTTGCACTGGGAGCCTCTGGAGGGGAAACCTGCCCTAGAGAGGGGCTGCCCAGGGGCTCAGGCTGTCAGGGCCTGCATGGGGGCATAAAAGAGCTGAGAATAAGGCCCGGATGTGGACTGTCAGTTGTAGACTATCAAAGTAGCAGAGCTCCTTTAGGATCTCTGAAGGCCAGCCTTAATATTCTCTGTAATACACTTGGCAAAAAAAAATGGAGGTGAATGCTGACTCAGAACTGCCCAACAGAAAGGGGAGGGTGCTTACAGCACTGTCACATCACCTACATCTTGCTGCTCAGAGAAATTCAACAGTGCGAGGCCCTGTACTCAAGGTTCCTGCTGTCCATTAGAAGGCACCTGTATAGAAAAGATGGAGGAGGACGAGCTCAGTGCTTCCTGGTAGGCAGTGGCAGCCTGTCTAGTGAAGCTGTATGCTTGACTGTGTGACTGCAGGATACGGTGCAGGGGAGGCTCTCAGTGCAGAGCACTGCAGGCCCAGTGCTGGAGCCCCATCCCTCTGTCTGGAGCCTCCTGCTGCTTGATGCTTTCCTTGGAGAGGGATGCATTTCTAGAATCTAATGCCAGGAGAGCTGGGAGGGAGTGACGTTTGTACTTTTAAAAAAGAGGAGTGAAAAGCACTAAGCTGAAGAATAATGCTGGCACAAGAAAAATGGGCTGGTATTGACTTGAAATAAATTTTGGATGGAGGCTTAAGGTTTTGTTTTGTTCTTTTGAAACTGTGACCAGTCTGCCATTATGAGCAGTGGGTGAGAAATACCTCACCCACAGCACAAGAGAGCACACAAAGCAGGTTGGGTAATGTAACCCATGATGACACAGCCTGTGTTAGCAAAGTACTAGTTGTGCTGATGGGAGCTTGTACTAATTTTGAATGTTTTGCTCTTACCATGAGCAAGAGGCATTGGAAAATGTAAGCTATTCTCTCAAGTTAAACATGTTCTAATGTTTGGTTTGTTTGCTTTTTAAAATTTAGACAGTGTTAAGATTCAGAAACAGCATTAAGATAAGGGGCTGTTTTTGCCTATGATCTAACAGGAAGCAGAGCTTAGCGAATACCTGGAGTTGTACTGATGCCAGTGCTGTCATCCTACCTTAAGTACACTTTCTTTAGGACTATTTAATGCTCTTCTTAATCCCTTTCTGCAACTTCATGTGCATGCAATTATCTATCAGTTAATCAGTGGTGTCATCTTGCCCAGCTGCCAGGAGGGGGTGCTAACCTCTTGGGCTCTGCTTCATCTGCTGGGATCGTAGGTGAAACCATCTGAAAAATGTGAATTCAGGGATAGTTCTGTCTGCTGCTGCTGGTTTCCTACGGTGCAGTTCATGAGGCTTTGCTGGAGGCTCAGCTAGAGAGAGCTGCATCAACTGCTTGGTTCTTAGGCTTTGTGTCACTGTGGCTTTTCTCTTGGGCTCAGAGTGCAAGAGAAATAACAAAAATCTCTTCAGCAAGGCAGTTATCGTTCTGAACGAGTTGCCTCTGAAACACCACTTCAGGTAGTCTGCAGGTATTGTGTTCTATTCTGTTTTTATGAAGGCGGTTCTCCACGTGGTGGATATTAACCTAAAATGCATGAACAGTTAACAACAGCCTCACATGCTTTTCTTTCTGCTGTGGTTTTCTTAGTTTTATTTTTAGCAAACCAGTATGTGCTGGATGGTGAGACTATAACAGCTATGGCAGTTACCGAGCTGTCAGCACAGAACTGGTAATAAATAACCCAAAAAACATCCACCACATCTGCATCATACCAAGAGCTTTCCTTGCAGCTGACTCAAAGAGGAAATGGAATTTGGGGCCACTGAAGAGCACAAGCACCAGTTGCATTTGGCTGAGAACAGGGGATCGACATGATAGACTTTTAATTATGGCTGAGGCTGTGGAACTGAAAGTGGCTTGGAAACTTGCTTTAGTGGGAGCAGTGCAGGGTCCTTCTGCCCTTTCAGGAGCGTGTGAGCTTGCAAAAGCTAGCAGTGTGAGAAAGTCAGTGTGTTGCCTTTCCTTTTTAAGTTCACATTTCAGTATCAGAGTGCTGGGCAGTTGGATTCCTCACCTGCTCACATAAAGTGCATTCACTGTTTAGTACTTAGCTACTGCCTAGACAGAAGTTCACTGAAAAATCACTTAAGCTTTTGTTAATCTATGCATTCATGTAACAGTGTTGCACACAATTATTTAGATTGTTAGAGACATTAAATGTCCTTATGCTGCACTTTGTGCAGGTTCGTGCCTTCTTAAGCATGGTAGCAGAGACAGTGCTATCATCAACTAAAGCGCATGTATATATTTTAAGTAGACTCTTAGCACAAAGAAGTTGAAAGAAACAGTTTAACACAAGAAGCCTGCGAGGGTGAGTTTGACCTTTATTTTTGTCTAGCTTGGCAGACAAGCTTTGAGTTAGAAAGCCTTTCAGTGGTGGGTGAGGTGCTGTCTGGCGCAGGGAGATGCCTTGCAAGGTGTTAAGCAAAGGTTGGAAGGATACTCTGAAATGCAGAGGAGGTTCCATTAATGCAGATTCAGTTTTCAGTTTGATTTGGGTCACACAGTGCAATGAGGTGGTTTCTCTGGGGAGACTGAATGGCATTTGACTTGAGGGTCCTTGCTGATGAATGTGTCTGAAATGTTCTCTCCCCCGTTCCACAAAGTTCTGGGAGGTGCTCAGATGTGATGATCTTTCTCTTCAGGTGGACACAAGTTTGCAGAATGGTTTTGCACCCGGTATGAAGCTAGAGGTTGCTGTCAAGTCTGACCAAAACACCTATTGGGTGGCCACCATCATCACTACCTGCGGGCAGCTGCTCCTGTTGCGCTACGATGGTTACGGGGAGGATCGCAAGGCTGACTTCTGGTGTGACATCATGACAGCTGACTTGCACCCCATAGGCTGGTGTGAGCAGAACGAGAAGGTTCTCAAAGTGCCTGAAGGTAATACCTCCATGTGCAGAAGAGGGAGGTAAATAAAAACAGTATTTTTTTGTCCTTTGTAAGCCTTGTCTTCGTAGTTGCTTTTATGAGGAGAATGTGGTTTTGCTCTGATGATGAGGTGAGGTTATCTGTCATGTTTTTTGGAAACCCCGTGACTTTCAGTAGGATGGTGCTCTTCCACCAGAGAGAGTTCTTAGCTTGATTTCAGAAGTGGACTTAGATTTACTCAGAGGCTTGTGGTTCATTTAAACCCATTAAATCCTATTGCTTTTACTTATTTTTTCACTAGGTATCAAAGACAAGATACCTGACCAGGAGGAATTCCTTCAGCAAGTGCTGAAAGGAGCATGCAGTGCCCCTGCTAACCTGCTGGAGGGGGTAAGTGCTTGAATATGCTACATTTTGGTTTTTGTTTTTTTTTTCCCCTTGTTACAATTCAGATTCAGCTCCTTTTTTTTTCTTTTTTTTTTTTTTTCTTAAGTTTTAGGAGCAATGTAGTATGCTGCTGAACTTAGCATTTCCTATTCACAGTGCATAGTTTTGATAGCTCTGTGCTGGAATAAACTTTTCACTGCAGGTTTGGACTGTCTGTCCTGTTCATAGAATCATAGAATGGCCTGGGTTGAAAAGGAGCACAATGCTCATCCAGTTCCAACCCCCTGCTATGTGCAGGTCACCAACCAGCAGCCCAGGCTGCCCAGAGCCACATCCAGCCTGGCCTTGAATGCCTGCAGGGATGGGGCATCCACAGCCTCCTTGGGCAACCTGTTCCAGTGCCTCACCACCCTCTGAGTGAAAATATGAATTAATATGAAATGTTCATAAACCCTATCAGAAGAAAGACGTTTTTCAAATTTCCTTGGGTTTCAGTCCTCCTTCTGTTCTAGTCCTCTTTTATACAACTCTGAGGAAACCATCCTTTATTTATCAGGCATTCAGGTTGTTCCCTTTCTGAGCTGACTGCTTGCATTAATTTTTTATTTTTCACTAGTGGACAGATTATTGTTTCACTTAAATCTTTAAACTTTGCTAGTTAAGTTGTCCTTCTCTGAACTGAAAACAGAACTTGGCCACCTCATTATTAGTGTCTGCTAGTTAAGTATGCAGCACTGTTTTTTGGGAGAGTACCATTGATGTCTTCCTCAAAATTAGCATCTTTTCTGTCTAGTCTTCTTTGTATGCTAGATGAGTTAAAAAGGAACTATTCATGTTTACTCCTAACCTTCCATATATAAGGGATAATGCTTCTGAAAATGATAAACAGCATTTAAATGAAATGTGTGATTGTACAGGGCAGACAGTACAGAAACTCTGATGCAAGCACCATTGATTCGAAACACTAATTTCTGTTGTCCCGTGTGTTAGTAAGGATGTGTCTTTCTTTGCTTGTGTGCTGATACCTGATTTATTCCAAAAGAACGTGGGTAAGGGACAGAACAGAAGTGGAAGTGCAGGATTTTTGAGTTCCGTTGTAATAATAACATAATTTACTTTATTTTCTTGTTCTCTTTCTGTAGCTTCACAGAGGGAAAAATCCATTGGATCTCATTGCACCAGGCTCCCGACTAGAGCTCCAGAATTCCCGGGATGCCCTGGAGGCCTGGATTGTCAATGTGGTAGAAAATGTTGGTGGGAGACTCAAGTTGCGATATGAAGGGCTGGAGGATTCTGACAAATTTGACCAGTGGATATTTTACTTGGACCCTTTCCTTCATCAAGTGGGATGGGCAACTCAAAATGGATATAACCTGCAACCGCCTTTAGGTACTTCAAAACATATCTTTTACATGGTGAGAAAGATTGGGGAATACTCCTGCCTCTCTGGTGCTCTAAATCTACATTCTGGATGCATACGGTGGTCAAATAACCATTATATGATCTGTCAAATACTGTTCCTAATAAAAACTAAGTGAAAACAGCACTAATAGTCCTACAACACTTTTCACTCACTCATTTAAAAATTGCTAAATGGTTTTGCCTGTTGAAACTTTCTATCTGTGGGAAGGGAAGGCCTGAGGAATGGGCCTCTACAGTTATTTTTAGTTTGTATTCCTATATGTGGGAGAAAAAGTAATCAGCTGTTGAAGTACTGCTCAATGGGAGCTTTCACAGTTGGGACTTGAAGTCTAGGAGGATACTTAAGGCTCTCTCTAAAGAGGTCTTACATTGTACAGAAATGTCCTTAAAAATGAATGCCCTGAGAATGACAATATAGAAAAAAGTACAGAAGATTGGTCATAAGGGGAGTAGAGCATAAGGAAAAAATCATGCTGATGAAACCCAGACTGTTTAAATTGAAATGACTGTGCATAGTGCCTTTGCTCATGGTTGACCAATCTCTGCTGAAATGAGGGTAGTGAGGGTACACCACATCACTGACAGGAACCAGATGAGTGGATTTCACAGCACTATTTGAGTGAATAATGTTTTAAAAAAAAACATTAGGTTTTGATTTCAATCTAATTATTAGACTTGTTTCATTTTTACATCTGTCCTCACAGACTTGGCTTCAGGGATCCTTTGTGCATGGTACTAGTAAAAGCAATTTCCCTGCTATAGAGAGTTGTGAGATCTGCAGTTACTGAAGGAGTAACAAGTACAGCTGGGACTCTCAGATACCTGGTTTGATTTTTGGGTGACCCTGTGTGAAGACAAGAGTTGGAATTGAAGTTCCTGGTGGGTCCCTTCCAGTGCAAGGTGTTCTGTCATTCAGTGATCTGTTCAGAGATCTCCTTTCTTAAGCCTAGAACAAACTAATATTATCCAGTTTTCTGGTCATACATTTCTGCAGCAGTTTTCCTCAGGATTAATGTGACAGGGTTACTGTTTTCTGAGAAAGACAATACTGGGCCCCACATAGGTGATGCAGTGTTTGACTACAGTCCCTTCTTATAACGAATCCGAAAGTCTCACCAAGCTGTACATTTCTAAGAATGAAGATATTTGCACAGATTCTGATCAGATATGAATGTAACACTTAAGGAACACAAACTTTTCGTATCACTGCATCCATTTTCTGAGGGGAAAGAAGAAAGATGGTCACTTCGTACACTATTTCCCATTCTTTTTGCTTAAGCCATTAGGTCTTTGAAAAGTGAAGCAGATTGGCAAGAAATCCTGAAGAAGGTAAAAAAGGAGGAAGAGGAGTCATCAGTTCCTACAGATCTCTTTAAGGTAAAGACACAATATATGAAATAGAATGCTGAATAATACCACAAAAATGCTGTATTCCTAAGAAATTATTCAGGAAGTCAGTCACTGTTCAAAATTTCTTCTATGTTTTGGATTATTTTTTTTTTATTTTTGTTCTTGCTTTGTTTGTTTAAATTTTTCTCTTTCCTCCTCTCATTGAAAATGAAGTGGAATAAATAAGAAGTTATACTATGATCCTGTTCTTGTGATGACAAGACGATGCACCCATCACAATTATGTGAGCCTTACTTGTTATGCTGGGACAAAGCCCTGGTTCTGACCTTCTGATCTGATCTCACTCCTAAATATTTGACTACATGAGAAAGTTTAACATGTAACATCTAAAATGTAACCTGATAAAGTTATATATGTAATGGATTCTCTTAGATCCTGAGTGTTAGTAAATGTTGCTGGTAAGTCTGAATTTTATATTGAGTTAAAAAAAAACAACCTGACATAGGAAGTAGGAATATCAATTTAGTCCTTTCGAGTTCTTAGCTCCATTTTCTCAGCTTCATTTGGGTCCATAAACAGAACAGGTCCTCATCTGGTGGTGTTGCTCTTCAGTCTGTTGAATCTTACACAGAACAGCCAACTCTCTGGAGCAGGAACTCTGTTTTGTCAGCTTTTGGTAAGGTGGAAGTGAAGACTTCTTTTAGTTTAGCTCGTGATGAGAGCTGAAGGGGAAAAAAAAAATCAGCATTTGTATGTTCTTACCAGATCACTTTGCACTGTGAAATCTTGCTGGTGTGTAGAGAACATCAAAGGAGGGAATCTTTGGGACTCAGTCACGTAGAAACTCATAGAAGCTCTCAGTCTCAGATATCATAGCTGGCCTTTTCATTGTAGAGATGTTGCTGGTGCGACAAATTACTTTCTTCAGATGAACCAATAAAAAGTCAGGTTGTCTACTTCAGCTGAATTACATAAAGTTGGTCTTTTCTAATGGAGAAATGCAGGTAATGACTCTGATACTTGATCTTTCAGGATAAACCTGTGATTGGAGTGCATTCATTCTCTGAAGGCATGAAGTTAGAAGCTGTGGACCCAACGGCTCCCTTTGTAATCTCTCCTGCCACGGTTCTCAAGGTACCAGGGTTCTCTAAATTGTCCTGCTGAGATCCAGTTCAGTCGCTGCTTGTGAACACATGATCTGGAAATTCTCATTAACTGATTATCTTAAAACCTCAAACTAGATTTCTAATAAAGTATTTGATGTAGTAAGTATAAGTATTAGTTACCAAAGAATGGGAAAAATTCCGTAAATAGAGAAGCTCAAAAGATTGAATAACTGAAATTGTCAAACCTGGGTTTTTAAAACAAGATATGATCCTTCATAATCAGAGTGTCTGATTGAAGATAAATTTTTTGTTTTTATTGTTTTTGCAGAAGTTAATGTCGTTGCTATGTATAAGCTCTGAAATTTAAGTGGTCTCACTTTAAACAAGAGCCCACACGTGGATTTAGAAGGTGAAATTAAATCTCCACACCATAATCAGATTTCAAAGAGAATTTTTGAGCAGCTTCTCTTTTCTTGTATTAATAAACAAGTAAAAGGTTCTGGAAGAGACTTACTTTCATATTGTAAACCAAAATATTGCTGTACAACATAAATCCAGGGCGTACTTTAAATTTCTTTGTGTGAATCTTGAGAAAATATTTCTTTTACTTTAAGGACTCTGAATATAATAGCTTACATTTCAGTGCTAGCTCTCTTTTAAACACTTAACATGTCGTTTCTTCAAATAAGATGCTCACTTATTACTAAAACAATACAGTCAGTTCCAAGAGAAGGAAAATCATTTGTTCCTCTGGATGATGGTGGTGATGTTGTTCTGTTCCTACTTATTGCAGGAGCTCAGTGTTTCTTCTTGAGGCAGTCCATCCTAAGACATAGTTGAGTTCTGTTTAAATATGCAGCTTGTTATTACAGTGTGTAGTAAGACTGCAAGTTCTGTTTGCTCTGTGTTCTTTTGTCATAAGATAATTCCATTTAGCACTTGATAACCTTTAAGTGGTTTAAGTGCTTTAAGTGCTCCCACATAGCCTTTTTTTATTTACTTTTCCTAAGTTTCCAGATAAGTCAGCAGACTGCCCTGCACTATGAGTCCCACAGGTTATTTTTGAATCATTTTATTTTTATGCTTTTTAATTTAAAGTCATCAAAACGAGGGAGAAGGAGTAGATCCATTTGTGTTATTTACAAGACTCTGCTTTGCTTTTGGCTAAAAACAGGTGTACAATGAAAAATATTTCATGATAGAAATTGATGACTTGAGGCCAGAGCGTGCAAGCAGCCAGTCTTACATTTGCCATGTCAACAGTGCTGGGATTTTCCCGGTGCAGTGGAGTCTGAAGAATGGCATACATCTCAGTCCCCCACCAGGTATGTTTGTGCAAGCTTGTCACGCTCACTCATCTTTGGAGAAGATTGCTGGTCCCTAGAGTGCTGTGTTCAGGACAGCACTCTGCAAAAGAATCACTTGAGGAGAAGCGAAGAAAATGAAATATTCTGAGAAACAGGAGCTTAGAGTTAGTGGAACTGAAGTTTCCTGGATATGTGCCTGGATTTGAGAAGACAGCAGTGGATGGGAATCCTCTTGGAAATTGTGTTCCAGGGCTAAAGGCATCACTGATTTCAGTGTTCACATGATATCAGAAGCCTATGGTCCATGCATTGGATTTTTGCTTCTGGTAAGAGCAGAACGTTGTTATTCAGTGTCTTAAAGTGTTTTTTCAGAGTGTCTTATCAATTAGAAGTTAATGGTTTGTTGTTGTTTTTTTTTCTTGGACCTATCAGGCAAGGTAGCAGATTGCTGAAATGTTGCTGCAGGATGGGAGGGAATGGGGAGTAATTCTCAGCTGCTGAATTATTTACATATTTGCAGTAGTATTGTAAAACCAGGGACTTAATGTCCTTCTTCACTCCTTCAGTTCAGAGGAGCAAAGACTGTAGCATGTATGTCTTTTGGCTTTCCTTGAGTCAGGTGCAAAAAATGTCTTTGCTTTGCTTGACCCAGCATTATTTGTAATTTTGCATGGGAGAGATGAAATCTTGCTTTCTAGGCATGTGTCTGGAGCTAACATGAATTTTTAGCTTCTCTTCTTACAGACCCCCAGGAAATGGTGGGCATTCAGATTTGTGCCAGTCCAACTGGCACTGATAAAACTGAGAAAGATGCATAGGTCCTTCTGTGCTTAAGTCTTTCCTTGTTATTTGTAGGTCATCATGACAATACTATATTCTGAGACTCGTTTTAAAATTTTTGATTTCTTAAATCCTACTCCCAGATGTCCCTTGGAAGGGAGCATTTCAAAGGCACTGCTGGAATCACTGCTGCTGTTGTCCCCCTGCTATTATGCTGCCAGCCTCAACCTACTGTGGCAGCACATTTATTTTGCATCCAATTCCCTTCAGTTACTTGTTGATCATAAGGAAGCAAAGTATTTCTCTGAGAGTAATTTAATTTCTCCTTTTGTTGGAGTGATGTTCTGTCCCCTGACAGGTTTCACATTAAGACCCTTCCCCTTAAACATGTATGCAGATTTAGAGCTTTTAGCAAACTTGACACTCTTGGGAAAGACTAACTGCCACCTTTAAAGGCTTTGTATTTAAAGGTGTTTAAGGGAATAGTATGTTGATATTAAGCACATTTGAGATGCTCTATTTAAAAAGGGGGGAAAAAAACCTTTCTTTGCTTAGATTTACTCTTTCAAGTTTCAGCATGTGCTTTGTCAAGTTAATTTTAGTTTGACACTATTTCAAGTCAGAAACAGGAAACAAAGTGGAGCAGTGCCCAAAGTTGTTCTGCACTGAAAATAAAGAGGATATCTCAGATATGTGAGAGCCATGCTACAGGTTCTGGGATACCACAGTCAGCTGACCAGCTTGAGTGGTCCAAAGAAATTTCATGTCAGGTTGGAATGAGTCATTCCACGCCGTTAAACTAACCCTTTTGTGTGTTCTTTGCCTAGGTTATCCTGGGCAGGACTTTGATTGGGCAGACTACCTCAAACAGTGTGGTGCTGAGGCAGCTCCCCAGAGCTGCTTCCCTTCGGTAAGGTTCTCTTGCAGAAAAGCATCATTTCTATTAGGTAAATTATATGTTTGATTCCAGCTCGAAGAACCACTTTGCATGTTTTTGACTTAAATTGTCTGTGATGACTGGTGAAATGAAAGAGTTAAGAGAGTGCAAGTGTGGGTTGAATGTAGTAGGTGCATGTGGTCTTCCTAGCTAAGTAAGTAACTAAGTGCTAAGTAAGGGCTAAATGCTTCAGTTGTGATAAAGCAGCTTGAAAAGAAACCAGAGTTTTATGAAATGGAAGTATGTTAGAGTCCAAGAATTGCCATAAAATAACATTGGTCCTTGGCACTGTAGTAATCATGGAAACAGGGCCTTACAGTAGACTTTGTTTCTATTTACTTAGTGTACTCTTTCAATCCTCCTTCCTTTCACTTTGGGAGAATTCATTCAATTGTGTTAATCAGTAACAAGTCAATCTTAAATTAGTACCAGGTAATCATTGGACATTAATCAATGCCTGAAGTCCATGATAGATTTTAGTCTTTTCCTGGCAAACGGATAGAATTGCTGTGTCCCAAAGCAGAAAACCTCATACAGAAAAGGGTACCATTACACCTACCTTCCAGTTCCATTTACAACATTTGGGCTTTTGCAGTGCTTCAGGGAAGAAGCTGAGATGAAAAACTGCCATTTTTTGAAGAGGTTGTTGCTGGCTATGAATTCTTGTTGCCCTTATTCTGTCTTGTAAGTTGTAGTGTCTCAGAACAGGTCATTGAATTTATTATCCCTTTTCTGAGAAGTTGCTCACTGTAGGCTGGTTTCAGATTTTGTAAGGTTGATCCTGTAATTATGTTGCAGAGTAGCTCTTGGAGGAAGAGTCCTCTGCCTGGCATTTCATTCATGTGCTTCAGGTCAGGATAAGCACCCCTTCCTACTTTGTAGGAACTTTTGAATAAATGTGGACCTATTACCCAAGGAATATAAAATGGACAGCAGGCTTCCTTTGTTGTCTGCTAGGACCCTTTTGGATGAGGCAGGAATGTTGTTTATATACCTAAAATGAGTTTCCAAGGTAAAAAAATAGAATAGAAAACCTTGTCACACTATTTGTGGGACTCCACAGCCAGCAGCAGGGAGCCCCTTCTTGCATGGAGTGCACGGACTCCTTTCACTGAGTCTCAGCCTCCTTATTTTGAGTACAAATGTGCTTTTCTAGGTCTGTCTATAAAGTCTTTCTTTTAAAGTAACATGCTAATTACCTGAAGTGTTTTCTGTCTGTTTGACATCATTCTGTGATACTCGAACAGAGAGGGTTCTGTGTGTTACTCATGTTTGTAGGTATTCATATCATACTTTGGATGTATGGATGGTATTTTACTGAAGCTTTCTGTCTTTTTCCTAGTTAACTTCTGACCATGGATTTAAGGAGAATATGAAACTTGAGGCTGTGAACCCAGTTGATCCTGAGGAAGTTTGCATTGCTACAATCACCAAGTTGAGAGATTCCTACCTCTGGCTTCAGCTGGAGGGTAAGCCTGCTTTGGGGGATCAGAGCAGAACTAACATTGGTTATTCTGTGGTACCATAATCTAACCTGAAGAGTATCTGGAACTAACTCACTACCTGTTGAATATCAGCAACAGATCAGTTTCCTAAAGAAAAACACAGCACATCATTTGCACTGCCTGTTTCCCAGTTAGCCTTAGTTAAGCCAGCAAGAATATAATTTATGCACTGTGGTGGGTCAGTGCTAGGGTTAGGGTTACAGTTAGTGCCCTGTGTGAAAGGATGATCCGTGTCTTTTAGAAAGCAAGAGCCTTGTAACATGGGTTGTTTTTTGTTTGTTTGTTTTTTTCATACATGAGTGATTTCCATTTAAAGCCAAGCTTTGATTTGGTGTTTTGAAGTAAACTTTAAGAGAGATTCCTTATTAAGATAGGCCTATATCAGACACTCTCCATTATAATCCCACTTCTTGATTGAAAGCACATCAGCATGCATATACTATGCCCTGTACACCTCTGCTGGACTGTGGGTGGAAAATTCCATCTCCAGCTTTAGGTGGAAGTAAATGACATCAGGAAAGTAACCAGGCAGTAGAGGAGGAGAATAGTTGATACTGTGTACTGTGTACACTGTAAGTTAGAAAGGGAGCTTCTCTGGTAACATACAACAAGCATTCACCAAGTGAACTGTTGGGATTTTATGAGTTGTTTCAATTTTTGCTTTTCTTAACTGAACAGGCTCCAAGAAACCCATCCCTGACTGCATTGTGAGTGTGGAATCGATGAATATATTTCCAGTGGGCTGGTGTGAGACGAATGGATATCAGCTCAGACCTCCTTGCAAAGCAATAGGTATCAGTTGTGTTCCATTTGCAGTGGCTAGCTGGTTTAATAAAGATGGTGAGGCCATTTAAGAGCAAGTTACTGCACAGTTAGATCTGGCATCCCTGAATTTGGGAACTTCCACTGTGTACAGAGAATCCATGCCTTGTGCAACTGTTCCCCTGCCTGTGTGGTCCAGCTGTGAGAAATTCTTCAGTGGAACTGGAATTCATAAAATAATTCCAAAACAGACAGTGTTATTCTGTAACCCTCACAGGCTGTAAGAGGGCATGAAAACAATGCATTAACCACAGGAAAAAAATTAATACAGAAGCATGCATGCATGCACACACATGACAGGCATATACATCTGTATGAGCTGTTCTTGCCACATGTCTGGCTGAGTCTGATATTGATTTTACACAAACAAAATTAATGCCTTAGTAAAACAGTGTTGAGTAGGTAGACATTTGGTAGTTAAACTGAGGAGGACTGGCTTTGTAAATGTGCCAGCTGGTCGTGATCCCTTAATGATGAAATGTTGAAAAGTAAATGCTATCTGTTCCAATTATGCTAGTAATGTAAGAGTGTCTTCTCTCAAATTAGTGAGTTCTGTTTATTAAAGCTAAATGGGAGATGGGAAAACTGAAGAATGTCTATTAAGTAAAGTTGTAAAATCGTAAGATTGGAATGAACTGTCATTTACTGCAAGTCAAAGCAGGAGAAACTCATCTGGGAAGTGTCTGAAATGCCAAGAGCAGGGGAGGAAGAAGGAACATAATTAGAGAAAATATTCTTTTTGGAAAAATCCAGTTGTTTGCTGGGGACAATGCCTGAGGCACATGTTTCATTACTTTATTATTATTACTGTTGTAATACTGTTAGCTAATTGTAAGAGTCAGTATAGACAGAGCATGAAGAATGGTGTCCAAGATTAGTATTGAAATAGTGAAAGGGAGCTTTATCTGTTGGTTGGGGGGCAGGAGTGTAGATTTAAGCATAAAAACAACAAGAAGGCCTTCTTAGCAGTTTTGAACAGCAGAACTTAAAAATAGCATATAACTTCAAGGAAAGGTATCTAATAAATCTACTGTAGTGGAAACATAATTTGCTTGCCTTCTTCGCTTTTGGAATTTATTTTCTTCTCCTTTCTTTCAGTAAATAAACAGAAAAAGATTGCAGTAGTTCAACCAGAGAAGCAGTAAGTAACAGCGTTGGGTTAGTTTGTGTTTAGTTTTGTTTTCTTCTAATTAGTAAATGATGTTGTCTCAGGGGAGACTAAGGCTACCCTGAGGGCAGAGAGATTCCACAGTCCATTTGTTGTGATGCTGCAGTTCTTGGTAATGTTGGAAAAGACCTCTTCCACTGCCATAGGTGGATATATCACAGAATCACAGAATTGCCAGGGTTGGAAGGGACCTCAAGGATCATGAATCTCTAACCTCCCTGCCACAGGGTTATAGATATAGGGATATAGAAAGCATGGGCTTTATTTTTTAACAATGCTAACCTCAACTGAGTTACTGGATAGATGAAGTCACTGAAGATCTGGTCTTGAAATTATTGTTCTATCACTTTTAAAAGATTGCAGTATCTGTGAGTTTTGGAATGCACTTAAAGAAAACTAGCGTGATCTTAGCAATGTGAATTTAAAATTGTGTGTGCTTGAAGCTTTCTTAATGGTAATTAAGAAGGTAACTAGAATACTTTTCAGTTTCCTTTTGGTTGTATTCTCCTTTCAAATAATATGGTTTCTGTAATGTGAACATGCACAGTTCTACAAAGAGTTTGTTTTTAGTGTGAATATTGTCACTCAGCAGGTGGAACAAAATAAATTCAGGAAGGCAATACTAGATGTACAAGACCAAACTAGCAAAAAAGAAAAGATGGGTCCTACTTATACTTGCAATTCTTCTACAAACTGTGTCATGCATATGAAATTCCTTTGTGTGAGCTTGTTCAAAACTGCTCAGTAGAATGCCTGACAGTTGGTTTTATTGACTTAGAGCTTTACAAACACCAGATCTGTCAGCAGCCCTGTTGATATTTTCATTGTTCCTAAAATACTGAGCAGACTGTTTGTCCATGTTTTTGTAATTGGGTTTCTTACTGGAGTGCTTGACTCATTTTGATCAGATTTTGTTTAAAAGCCTCTTTTTCAAAAAGTAAGACTGCACATTGCTTTACTGTGTGAATGAAGGTAAAGGAAGTGGAAAATGTAAATTACGTCTGCTTGCTTTATGTAATGTGATTATCAGCATGCTTGCCTGTGTTTCAAGGAAGAGATGATTGCTGCTAGCTGTAGCAGTGCAGCAGTCCTTCCCAAATTGAAATCAGTTGACTTTGTATGTTTAAGTAGAGAAAAGATGAGGTGAGGAATATTATCAAATGTGGAATATGTAAAAAGCAGATTAATAAAGCTAGAGCAAGAAATATTTTGGCTTTTAGCGTTTGAGTTTTAGCAGCTGAGGGGTGTCATCCTGACCATCTGTCCCTGTTGCTAACATCTTTCTTTCCATTTCAGAATTTTGTCTTCAAGGACAGTTCATGATGGACTAAAGAACCAGGAACTGAACTCTTCAGATTCAGGTATTGATCAGGGAGAGCAGGCTAACAAAAATAAAACCCAACGGTCTTCTGTCAGGACAATCAAAAGAGGAGGAAAGGGTTTTAAGATTTCCATCCTTGACTGTTTGTTGGTCATCAGAAAAGAATGAAATGGACAAAACCATACAGGTAGCTCTGTGTCCTGCAATTGAAATGTGCATTGAACCTGGAAGTTAGATGTTTTACATGAGAACTTCCCTCTGCAGCAGAGTATGTGGAGCCAGATGCCTGCTGTCACCTATGCAGATTAATTTTTTATTGTCACCTGCTATGTTCAGTAACATTGGGAAAATCATAATAGGCCTGCTAAATCTCTACTCTTGACTTAGATTCTAGCTTTGAAAAGCAGGTCTCTGTTTTTTATGATAACTTTGTCATCATAATAAACAAAGGCAATTCAAACGGTAAACTGTGTTGCGTGCCAGATGGTGAAATCTAATAATTTTCTAAACTGTTGCAAATGAATATGATGAATAAGTACATCTGCTGGTGAAACAGTCATGCAGATCTATCTGTTTGGCAACAAAATGCCTCTTCTGCTGTTTTCTGTAGAGTGAAATGAACATCTGAAGCTGCACCAAACGCAGTTCTCTTGAAATGATCCGTGCTTGCTTAGCATTTTAATTGGTTTTTAATAGAGTCATCATGTAAATTTGACTTCATTTCTTTATTTTCCAGTTTAGGATCTTTCAGTGATAGTGTTGCTCAATCAAAAATACTACAACATTCCTAGAGGAAAACAATTTTTATATATCTAAATATCTTACAGTACCCAATACCCAGAACTTAAATTGTGAACAGCACTGTGCCACTTAGCAGGCTTAACAAACTTGATGTCATTTCACTGGAGGTCACTTCATCAGTTGATACATCTTTTGTTTGACTGAGTGAAAAGAGTGCAAAAATGGAAAGCAACCAATAGCACAGTTTAGAATGAATAGTGGAGAAAAGCCTTGCCAGCTTCAGTGGTGGTGGAAGTCCTGGGGACGGATAATTACTTGACTGGAAAAATTGTCTGTAATTACAGTGTTGTGGTGTGCTGTGCTACCACACAGTTGTGGTCACCTTTCTGCCTGTACTCACTGATGTGATACCACAACACATCAGGCTTGCTGGAAGAAATGTTTCTTTTCCAAAACATGGCAGGCTTTATTTCCAGCTGTTCTTCAGTTTGCTAGTGTGCATGTAAAGCATGAAAAATACTTTTAGCAACGTGAATGACTGGTGCTGCGATTGCAAACGTGGCACCTGAATTTGCCCAAATTCAGGTCGTTCAAGAACATTCAAATGTTCTTTCCTTTTTCTTTCTTTTTCTTTTTTTTTTTTTTTCCAGCAGGCAAAATATTAAGCATCATAAAGAAATAATTCTTTGTTGGGGAGATTGTGCCATGTGATTTAAATCTTTGCTTTCTCCTTTCTCAGTGGTAATTAATGGAAAGTATTGCTGCCCAAAGATCTACTTCAACCACCGGTGCTTCTCAGGGCCTTACCTTAACAAGGGCAGGATTGCAGAGCTTCCTCAGTCTGTGGGACCTGGCAACTGTGTTCTCGTTCTGAAAGAGGTGAGGTGGTTGCATGTGGTGGATCTGCAGAACATCATAAACTCTAGAGTGCTTCTCTAATTACGGATGGATAATTAATATGTTTAAGGAGTTCATAAACTGCTGATGAGCAAACAGGTTTTTTAATGGGAAGACGTACAAATTGTGGATCGTTTTGTGAATAGCTGGAAAGAGTAAAAGCCTCCCACATACCTGAATTAAAGTCAGCCTTCAACTGCTAACTCCTAGTAAGCTTTAATCACCACAACCAGAGGAGTTAGTATCTTACAGCTGTAAGAATGCTTCCATTCTCATTAACAGCTTTTAGCTTCAGATAAACCCTAAAGTTTTCCTTTACATTTACACCACTGCTGTTAGAACAGAGGAAATACATTTTTTCTTAGCAGAAATGAATAAGTATGTATTTTCAGTAAGAGTTCTTTGTTTTATGGTGCATTTAAGTTGGATATAATCTACAAAGATCAGATTAAATCGTGGATTTGCTTTCTAACATAACTAAGGGAGGGGAGAAAGGAGGAAAAGACCATTTATTAATGCTTACAAGCATTTCACTGAAAATTTACAGATACTCTAATATAGTAATTATTTTTTCCAAAATCTACTGAAAGGTCATGGGATGGTTATGATCTGAGCTGAGAGGTTGCATGTTTCCTAAGGTGTAACTGAGTGTCATACAAGCACACAGCATGGTGGACATTTGAGTAAGATGTTTGCCCTCATTTTGATCTCCAAATATTTGACTTGAAAATGAAAGCCTGTCTTCTGGCATGCTCATAAAGTTGTTAAAATCATTTATCTGCACATCATCTTTTTTTAAAAAAACATGCTCCTGATCCATCAGCACTTAAGGATGGGGGCACAAAAATTGCAAATTTGTAGGCAGGCCTAACCTCTGCTCTGCTTGTTCAAGTACTTGCTCACTGGATGAAGCTTGCTCATACCTAGTCAAATGCATAATGGGTAGAGAGAGTCCCAGGACTGGGGAGAGAAATGCACATCTCTGAATTGAGGGGGGAGGGTCTGATTTTAAGATATAGCCTGTATTTGAGCAAATCTGCTAATAGACCACTCTGAATGCACATTTTGTGCTATCACCACTAACTTGAGATTCTTCAGAGCTTTGAGTTACTTATTTCACAGCACTATAGAAATTCTCATTTTGTTACAGTACAGGCCCAATCCTCATTCTCAAAAGCCAAAAAAGAATAGAGCTTAAGATTCTGGAGTAAGATCTTGTAGCAAGCAGAAGGTTGGCAGGCAGCAAAGCCCTGCAGCATTTGTAGGCATATCCTCACATGCTGAACAAGTCTCTAAGATGGTAACTCAGATTTACCAAAAGTTGTGCAAGTTTTGCAGTACTCAGCCCTGCAGTTTAATTTACTGATAGGTAATTCAAAGGCACTGACTGGGAAGTTGCTAGATACACTTGTGACTCTGCAGACAAATTGTGAAGGTTTGGCAAGTTCTAAAGTGTTGACTGCTCTCAGTTTTCATTTTGGCTGTATCTGTAATCCTGCTGTGAATGGGTTCTTTGATGCTGGATAATTCAGATGAATAGAAGTGATCTCCTATTCTACCCTAGCACTTTAAAAAGATTTATTATACAAAGAGTCTAAACACAGTTTCTCCTCTTCCTCCCTACTATAGGTTCTCACTTTATTGATCAATGCAGCGTACAAACCCAGCCGTGTCCTGCGAGAGCTGCAGTTGGATGAAGAAGCTGCATGGCATGGGCATGGAGAGACCCTAAAAGCCAAGTAAATACTTGTCCCATTCCCCACTTAGTTGATCCTAGTAACAGTGTTCTGTGCAGTCCGTGCTTTAACTTCTGATATTTCACTGAATCACAGAATGGCTTGGGTTGGAAGGGATCTCAAAGATCATCTAGTTCCATCCCCTCTGCTGTGGTCAGCGTTGCCACAAGACCAGGCTGCCCAAAGCTCCATTCAGCCTGATCTTGAACACCTCCAAGGATGGGGCATCCACAGCTTCTCTGGGCAGTCTGTTCCAACACCTCACCACTTCCTCAGTGAAAAATTTTCCCAACATCTAATCTAAATCTCCCCTCATTTAGTTTAAAACCAGTCCCTCTTGTCCTATCTATCTACCATAGATAAAGCAACCCAAAGTTGACTTCCCTCTCATTTGTAAGCTCCCTTTAAGTTCTGAAAGAGCGCAATCAGGTCTCCCCAGCTATCCACACTAAACAAGCTCAGCTCCCTCAGCTTGTCTTTGTAGAGGAGGGGCTCTAGACCTCTGCTCATCTTCATGGTCCTCATCCGGACCTGCTCTAAAAGCTCCACATCTTTCCCCAAGCCTGGATACAGTGCTCCAGATGGGGCCTCATGAGGGCAGAGCAGAGAGGGACGGTCCCCTTCCTGCCTGTTGCCACCCTCTTTTGATGCAGCTCAGCATACTGTTGGTATTTGAACTGGAAGTGCACACTGATGGCTTGTGTTAAGTCTTTTGTCTACCAGGACACCCGTGTCCTTCTCCATAGGGCTGCTCTCAACGAGTTCTTCTCTCAGTCTGTACACGTATCTGGCATTGCCCCAACCCAAATGAAACACCTTGCACTTGGCTTTGTTGAACCTCACTAGGTGAGCCCACTTTCCAAGCCTGTTCAGGTCCCTCTGGATGGCATCCCTTCCTTCAGACGTACCAACTGCACTGCTCAGCTTGGTGTTGTCTGCAAAGAGACATCTCAGAGATGAGAAAATTGTCTGCCAGAATCTTTACATGCTGTAAGCTAAATTTCCAAATCTTCATACGGTCCTTTGTGAATGTCTGTCAAAGTGCATCAGAATTTAATGTTCCTTCATGTGCCAAATGTGCTCTTTGTTGGTATGTAAGCAGTTATTGGTGTGGCACTGGTACAACACAGCAGACTAGAACACGAAGCTTAAGCTACTTAATACACCTGAAGATAAATGTCACTATGTGGAAGCAAAAGTACATACTACTTTGATAGTTTATCAGGCTTCCATGGCATTTCCACACATTTCTCAGTGGGAGATGAGTTCTCTGAAGTTAGGTTGTAGCAGCACTCTGAAATGGTCTGGCATGGAAGTCTTTCTCCAGTAGCCTACCCTAAGTGCTCCCTAGTTTTCCTTGTTGAGTCTTTTAGGCTTGAGCTTCTTTGCTAGTGTGTGCCTAGGAAACAAACAGTGATCGTATTTGTAATATATCCAGGTATTCTCTTTCACTCTAGCAGTAGCCTTGTAATTAAGTCTCCATATTTGCATACTAAAGAGTTGATTTTCCCAGTGAGCAATAGCAAGACTTTATTACTGTATGGTTTTGAACATGGCAGTAATCATTTTGCTGGATCGATTTTGTGTATAAAAGGGCATTTTTCCATACACTGAAGGATTACTTTGTATTTGGCTTTGGATAATAGAAAGATCATTGAAAAGTTAATGCAAATAAAAGATGTGGCTGAAGTAGAAAAAAATCTTTTGATTTGTTTCATTGAAATTGCCGTGTGCTTCTTTTGTCATCACGGTGAGAGCTAGGATGTCTGAAGTATGATAATATAACTCTCTTTTTCAGTGTATCACCTAGGTATTTGTAGGCCTGAGACATCCCTAAGATATATCAGCATTTGCCAATAGCTGGACTGAGAGCAGGAATGCTGCATGAGATGGCAGATAACTCACTGTGCTGCTCTCTCAGTGTTGCTGCAAGGCTGATAAAGAAAAAGAAATCGATATTTCTTACTTTGAATTCAAACAAGAGCACTAAGTGGAGTTATGGCAAGTGACTGTCCTGACCAATTCTTCAGCAGCTAGATGAAAGCTGATTGGAAATGCAACAGTATATGCCATAGTATGCACATAGAATGGCTCACTAGAAGCTGTATGCTGACACCTTTTATTAGCCTGTTTGGCAGAATTCTAGCATGAATCAATATGCTCAGTCTTGGGTTTTGGGGATCAGCTGTCCACAGCACAGTGTGGTCGCATAAAAAGAACCCTGTGAACAAAGAAAACAAACTATCTGAATTCTGGGATAGTCTTCTCAGAGGGTTTTTCAGGATTCCTGAATGATGATCACATTTTCAATGTTAGGTACAAAGGGAAGAGCTACCGAGCAACTGTGGAAGTTGTGAGGACAGCAGATCGAGTGGCAGATTTCTGCAGGAAAACATGCATCAAGCTGGAATGTTGTCCGAACCTTTTTGGCCCTCAGATGGTGCTGGATAAGTGTTCAGAGAACTGCTCTGTCCTGACAAAGACTAAATACAGTGAGTAGGCTGTGGCTGTCCAACTGAGGTGGGGCTGTTATGTAGGGGTGTTACATTTTGCTTTTGCTCTGGCTTTGGCTCCAAAAGGAATCCAAAGTACATTGCTTTGCTTACAGAAGGAAAAGCTCGAGCGCTGGCCTGCAAAATATCCAATGTGCACCAATGTGTAGGGCAGAAAAAATTAACTTTACATGAAATGGTAAAACTGTGCATTAACTTATTGTGAGCTTAAAGTTTTATCTTCTTAAGATAACTTTTGGGACAAGAACTGGCTCTAATATTGTAATGTAAGTGGCATTGTAATTGCTTTTACCATTCTGTTGTGGAACAAAATAAAATACTTTCAAGCCCTCTTCTTAGCTTTTAGGTTTTTTAGGTTTTTAGCCATTTGACATTGTGAGAACAAACAGTGCATTGAGGCCATGTTTAAAAACTGCACAAACATCACAAGACATCCGACAGTGGATGAAGTCTGTAGCTGATGACTTTTTTTTTTTTTTAATAAAATGTGATCATCTGGGATTTCTCAAAGTTAAAGAAGTAAATCTACTGTTACTGGGCAAATAAAATGTATTAGTAACTCTTCTTCCTTAAACCAAATTGAAGAGGAAAATATAGATGTACTCATTCAGAAGTTTTGCAGAAATGGGATTTCTACTGGGAAATGTCCTGCTACTGGTTTTCCAGTCCTGATGATGGACAAACATAACTAGTGACATTGAAGGTGCATTTCAACATGATGCTCCTTTCTTCTGTCCTGGTAGCACACTATTATGGAAAGCGGAAAAACAAGCGGATAGGTAGGCCTCCGGGTGGCCACAGTAACTTGGAAGTAGCCATGAAGAAACCAAATAAAAGACGGAAGAAACGAAAACATTTTTTTGTTCATAAGAAAAAACGTTCTTCTACTTCAGTGGATAACACTCCAGCTGGATCTCCCCAGGTATGAGACTGACGACAGCTTTAACAGATATGGTATGTGATCGTGGACCAGCTTCATTTGAAACAAGAAACTGTTAGTTCCTTATAACTTCAGGTTACAGCTGACAAGTGGGTGACTAATGTAGTTTTGTCCTAATCTCCCCATGTTTTATTTTGTTGCTGTGTTCTTTTCCCCACCATCCAGGGCAGTGGAGGAGAAGACGAGGATGACCAGGATGAGGTAGATGAAGAATCTCTGAGTGAGGATAGTACATCCGAGCAGCAAGATGAATTGCTTGAGGAATCAGAGGTATCAGAGAAAAAATCACTGTCATCCTCTCCTACACAGAGTGAGCTGTCTCATTCTCTGACTCAGGACCAAGACAAGAGGAAGAGGAAGCTTAGGACCTTTTCTTTTTCCGATGATGAAAATAAGCCTCCTTCACCAAAGGTAATTCTGAACGTAGATTTGTGCCTTTGCTGAGTGCCAGGCAAGCACAGGCATCTTGGAAGCATTAACCAGTGGGCTTTTTCTAAATACTCCATTATCCCACAAGGGATATTGTGAAGACACTGCAGAATATTTAAAAACATAATTTTTATTACAATCGCATTACAGGACTGTAATGAAGACTAAACTGTAGATGGCTGTAGGTAGACTGGGGAGCTTCCCACTTCTCAACTGTTGGCACTCCTTGGTTCAACTTGAGCAGGGGCTTGGAGAAATCCTCATTTTAGATTTACCCTCCTGACAATAAGGATATGGTCTCCAACTGCAGCACAGTGCTGTTCTGCACGTCTGTGCTGACCAAGGAGTGTGAAAAAGTGGGAGCTCTCATTAGAGCTTTATGGGGCAGATGAATGTTTGGAGTGTGGGATTGTTGGTCCATGACATCTACAGTATTTTAGTTCTTTTTGTGGTGGGTGGCTTGTGTAGGAAATAAAGATTGAAGTTGCTGAAAAGCTGCAGCTGGACAGTAACCCTCTGGAATGGAGCGTGGCTGACGTCGTGCGATTCCTCAAATCCACTGACTGTGCACCGCTGGCAAGAATTTTCCTCGACCAGGTATGGTTTTCTGTCAAAGCACTGAAGCTGCTACTTTATTCTTAGACCTTTATAACGAATCACAAAAAGGAATGAGTTTAAATTGCATAATGGATTTTTGAGGGGTAAAAAAAAGAAAGCGTGCACAACTTTCTGCAGATTCCGGAGGAGACTTAAGCAAATGGCCACAATTGTTCAGGTTTCTGAGTTCTTAGTGGAAGAGATGTTAGTCTGTGGGGTATCACTCAGCACTTCAAAGGCAGCAGCTAGTTTTCTGGGTTTTTGCCCCTTGTTTTGAGGTCTCCAAATGATGTTATTCATTCTGCAGATTGACTGTAAGTGTCATAGTTTTGTACACAGCAAGTGAAGAATTTTGTGTTGAAGCATGGCAGCAGGAGTACAAACATGAGTCAGATTATGCATCTTGATTAAAATTTGCTATAAAAAATACCTAGTGCAGGAACTTGTGCTGAGTATGGTTTATGATAGATGTTAAAAAAAAAAATAGCATCTCATCAGGTTCTGTCTCTTAGCTAGTGAATTTATGCTGACATCTTAAGAAAGGAGTTAATTTGTTGGTGAGAAAGAGAAGTTTTTAAGCTGGAGTAGAATAGAAGAAACTGCTAATTCACAAATGGTCTTGATTCTGAAATTACAGCAAGTCAAAGCTGAAAGGAGACGGGGAATAAAAATGCAAAGTCAACATGGAGGTTTTGTCTTCTGACAGGAAATTGACGGCCAGGCACTGCTACTGCTGACCCTGCCGACCGTTCAGGAGTGTATGGACTTGAAACTTGGGCCAGCTATTAAACTTTGCCATCACATTGAAAGGGTTAAACTTGCTTTTTACCAGCAGTTCGCTAACTGAGAAGCGGTCAAGTTGAAGCAGACCTTTTGAAGCACAACCATGCTCCTTTCTCTCTATCAAGGAAAGCCAAATAAAGCTGAACTGGCAACCCAGGAGCATGAGTCAACCTCCATTTTTCACTTTGGAGAAAAGACAACATCTGGAGGAAAATGCCAGTGCAAAAACAGGGGCTACTCTACCAGCTGCCAGCTTGGGAACACAATAGTCTCTTGCTCTATGGTTCCCTTTTTTTAATGTATTTTTTAATGATTACAGAAGAGTCTCCTCTGGTGGGAAGTGACATTTCAATAGTTCTGTCGGCACAGAACTTTAAAAGGAGAAACGAATCCTGTTTACGTTCGCATGCAGGCTGCCAGAAATAACCTTTCTATATTCCTGGTGATTCACAGAATCTCCATCCCTCCCCGTGGACGGACACTTGCTTTACCACAGCACTGGCTTTGGAATGTGCTTGGTGCACATTCGTTTGTTAATGTTGAGTATTTTGATGAATTTGTTCATTGTTAGGACAGCAATGTGACCACAAGGTTCTGAATGTACAGTATAGCAAGAGTGTGATTTGTTTCTTGTTTTGTTCAGGGTTGTTGTTTGGTTTTTTTTGTCTCTGTTGGGTTTTTGTTTTGTCTTTTTGTTTTGTTTTTACTACCTCTGTGGCCTGAACAGTAGAAATGATGAACTAGAAAGGGAGGGAACTACTTGTGGACAACTCATAGCACAGCAGTTTCTCTTCTGTAGGCATGTCAGAAATACAAAGCAGTATAAGCATACAGAGCTTCTGTTCCAGAACTTAAGTGGAAACCTGTGCAGGCTGAACTTGGATGTTACTTTATTCTGAGGTGTCAGAAAATGATTATTTTGCACTTCTCTTACAGATGGACAGTGGTGGGGGGGGAGGGGTGGGTGAAAGGAAGGAAGGAGAAAAGTGCCTCTGCATTTTCTTTTATTTTGGTTTGCAGATAAAAGATATTTTCTTTATTTTGCCCTTTACAATTCTGTGAAGTTGTTTCCCTTTTCTTAAGGAATTGGGCCATGTAACACAGAGCCTGTCAGCAGCTTTTTGCTTTGTTACCTGTACATCTTCTTGGAGGATACACTAAGAAAACTGCAATCAGTGAGGACTGCAGCATAGCTGTGTGCCAGTGTTTGCATACTGGAAACTATCTTAAAGCATGACTTGTATTTTTACCTACTTACAGCTACTCAGGATCAGACTTCACAACAATGCAGGGGTTTGGGAAGGGCTTTTTGATCTTTTTCTAGAGAAAAGAGAAAAGACCTGAGGGGCATCTAGTTGTAGACCCACAGTAGGATGAAGTGCTGATTTTAATTTTAGGCATTAAACCCAGTCAGCCACTTGCTGTGGACCTGTGCTTCACACTTGAAGTAAGAGGGCTTAACTTACTTTCCATTAAAGATGTGGGGAATTTGCGTCAGGCTTGAGATCTGCTCCACATAAGGATTAGGTTTCCAGTGCTTTGCATTCATTTTCTTTGCCTGTTCTCACAAGTATGTGGAGGAGCATGGGCTGGAGCTTCGTGCAGTCGGGGAGCATGCAGCCCTGATCCTTTCTCCTCTTCATTTACCTTTTCAAATAAAAACCCTGGCATACTAAGACAGTTGAGGTAGGAAGGTGCTTCCTGCAGGGTCTTTAGGCTTTTTGCTAGCTTCTGTGTGGTTACTCTGATCACTGGATGAATTCAAGCTTCTCTAGGGCCTAAAATGATAGGTTATTCTGGTGCTGGGAGCTGTAGATTCATTGAAGAGGTCATCTGTAAACTAAGAGCTGTAAACCAGGAGCTGAGTTTGCACAGTCTGTATCCACCACACATGTTGAGGGGAGTGACAACCAATGAAAACTGTTCTGAATAAGCAAAACTACATGACTAATTTTGATTTCTTTTGCTGTGAGGTCCTTAGAATAACTACCTCATTGAGGCAGAACTACTTACAGAAGTGCTAAAATCAGAATTTTTTTTTTCCATGCAACAAGCTAAGTTGAAAACAAAATGTCCCTTTTTCTTCCCTGCACCAAGCATGTGGCCAACGAAAGGATGCTTTGGCTCTTTGTGTGATCCTCCTATGCCCCATTCCCTCAGTGTAAGCTCAGTGAGAACTAGTTATACCTGAACAGTTTTTTGAAAGAAAAACTGTTGCTTTGCTGTCAGCATCTTGTCTTGAGAAACTTGACCAGCAGAGAACTTTTGGGCTGAAAGATGATGCTTTTGTCATTCGTCAGGGGTTCCTGAACTCTCTTGTGTTGTTAAAGAAGCTGGTACCCAGCAGATTTACTTGCATAGCCAAGAGATGTTACTTCCAGATAGATGTCCTTCAGAGTAGCTGTCAGGAGAGAACAGAGCTTAAAGAATAACTTAGTGAGCCTGTTCCCGTGGCATCTAGGGTATAAATACAAAAGTCATACTTCTTTTATTCAGTCAAGAAAGCAGTCAGTTTCAGAGGTTAGGGGGAGACTTACTAGTCACCTTTGGCATGTTTTATAGGCTGGATTTTTCTGCCTTGTTTTGGGAGGCACTGACAGTCTGGTCCCAATGGGATCTGTTTTTGTTGTGATTTTCAAAAGGAATGTTTTCATTATTTGTGAAGTGTTTTTATGCTGCACACGGGTACTGTACACTCTTTCCTGGAAGAAGGTGCACTCTTTTACTGCTGGATTTTAAAAGGGATACTTGGGGCATCTTGATGGATGGTGTTTCTACACAACTGTTTCAAGTTTTTCTCTCTCTCTGTGTGGCAGATAACACAACTGCCCTTACATTTGTCCATCTTGCAGCAATATGACTTAAATCAGCTCACATTCTGCTGTTTTTCTTCAAAACTGGGTTTTTGGGTAGCTCAATGCCTGAATCCTTGGCTTCAGGATTACATCTGTGTTTTACCAGCAAAAATTGCTGGGACTTCAGTAATTCAGTTTGGCTTCAGAGGTTTGTGCTGTCCTCCACCATTTCCATTCATCACAAAACATGACGAAGCTGAAGTCCAGGAGGGAAGCAGTGGTATCTCACAAATGGCTTCATTACAAGAAGATGAGCCCTCTGTTGGGCCTCGTGTACTGTTTATAGAGATGGGAAAAGGAGATGCTGCTTAACTGACGCATAGATGGCTTATACTCTCATCTGTCTTGATTTTTTGTATGCATTGTACAGCTTTGGATTGCACATCGTAGCTTTAGAAACCTGATGGTGCCTCTGCATCACACTCATACTGTGCTAAGCGTAGCCTCACTGGGCAGCAATATTTTGCTGTTGAGTTTCTGCAGTGTGCAGAATCAACACAAGGAACCCGTGAGAGAAAGATTTGACCTCTAAAAATGTCACGCAAGGTTAATGTGGTACAATGATCCCCAAAGGCGTGAGCAGCTTGCTGTTCACCTTATGCTGAAAGTGACCCTTCCAGAAGAGGGGAGGTGCAGCACTAAGCCCTTCTGCAAGCTGCTCTTTGAGAAAGACAGAAGGAAAAGGAAATTCATTTGTGTGTTGTGTGTAACACTGGGGACGTCTGAAGTTTCTCCTGGGATCAAGTACAGAGTTCAGAGCGGTCAGGACTACGTTTTCCTTCACAACTTTCAGCATTGTTTTGTTGTTGCTTTAAACTTTGCTAGGGTTTATTCTTGATTCTAACGATGCTTTAAAGGAGGAAGGAAGTATTTAGCTGCTAAGTCCGCAAAAGTGTAAATGTATTTACAGTAGATGGGACTGAGCACTCCATTCTTCTGGATGAAGTACAGAAATGTGGCAAAAGGAGAGGCGGCTCGGGGGGTTTTTGAATGTAATTGAATAGGCTTCAGAACTGTCAAGCTCAGATTGGAGACTGAATACTTTTGAACCAAACCTGTTGCTAGAAGAGAGGTTCTCAAATGAAGTAGCCTCACCAGAAAGCCAAAAATATGATGATCCTATATAAAGCTACTCATGAACCAGTCCTGTCACTTGGTGGCAGGCTGGTCACTGCCTACTGTGAGCTCAAATTGTTGAACAAGAAGCAAGCACAAAGACATAGGCTCTGTCAGGAGGCTTCAGATGTTGGCTGAAGGCTCCGTTTTAAAGGGATTCTGTGCTGAACCACCTTTCAGAGTGCTGCTGAACTTGCCCAAGCATGCACATAGCCTTGTTCTCAAAGGCAGCCTTATGGGTGAAGGACTGGAAGGGGACTTGAGAACATCTGGTGCAGCAAGCCTCTCTACTGTTATGTGTTTGTTTGTTTTTAACAATGACAAGAATCTGTATGAAATCAAGTGAAAACAACTCACGTTTAGTGGCACTTTGTCCCCATGGTCATTTCTCGCTTCTTCAGACTTGCATCTCTTGTCCCGAAAAGCGCCAGACAATAAAGGTGGATTTTTTGATGGGAAGACAAAGTTCCCATTAGGTGCAAAGCCAGCGGTGTCTGGCTCAGCTTTAAGCCATGGGAGCGAGCAGGTCTTGCACTGACAAAACTCATCCTGACGGCACGGCGCTGGGCACGCAGCCTGCACAACTCCTCCAGCATTGCACACTTCAAGAGGAACAGGCCTGCTGCTCGAGTCATGCTCAGCTTGTGTGAATGAACAATGAATTCTGGGCACAAATGGCTCTTGCCCACTCCCCAAAAGTTATTGAACACCAGTTTCCAAGAAACCTTGTGGAAAAAAAATTTTTTCTGGAGGCATTATGTTTCTCCACACCTCTTTGATTCCTTTCGTTGTTATTGTTATTATTATTTCTGTTTAAAATAAATTAAAAAATAATCTTTGTAGACAATCAGAGGCCTTTTGGGGAGACTTTGCCCTAAGGGGTACCTGCTCTCCACACCTGGGCCTGTTTCTTATACTAACTCATTGGAACTGATGCACTTTTCCTGTATTTCGCCTTTTTTAATTAGCTGCTTATTCTTAAACAAAGATTTAAATGCATATTGTGTTGTGTCCCTTCTGCTTCTCGTTTTATCCTTGACTTTTAAATATATATAAATATATATATATATATATATGCAGTGAGACTGAAGTGCTAAATGGAAGAGAAACACGAAGATAGGCGTCTGAGGTCCCACCATTGCTGGAGGCAGGTGTAACAATTTAATCAGAGGCTTTTTTAAAAAAAAAATATTTTGGATGGCTATTTTGCTTGTTTTGTCTGTAAATACTGTACATAAGTTTGTGGTATATGACGGTTTTAAGTGGTTGTAAGAAAATTAAAAAAAAAAAAAGATACTTAAAGTGTTACGGACGGGTCTGGTTGTTAACGCTGCCGCTTCCCAGTGGTTTTTCCATTTCAAGGAGGTGTTGGGGAAACCACGAGCGAGGGGAAGCGCTGACTGCACTCACATCGCCGCCCCGCCTGCTCAACGCCGCCGCCCCGAGCGTCCTGCGGGGAGCCGATGTTCTCTGGGTCCCGGAGGGCGCACAGAGGAGCCGCCGGAGCGGAGCGGAGCAGCGCCGAGCCTCGCAGACGCCGCCCCTCGTTCCGTGCGTGCCGGCTCACGGCGTCCCGTCCGGCCACGATCGGGGTCGGGCCGGCCGCCGGTGGCTGTAACAGCAGCCGCAGCTCCGCCGCCCGCGGGCGGGGCTTCCCTCCCCACGGGGCCGCCGTGCCCCGCGCTCGCGGAGCGGCCGCGCGTCGGGCCGAGCCCCGCCCGCCGTGACGCAGCGGGGCGGGCAGCCGGGAGCAGGAAGCGGGGCTGGGGGCGCGGCCTCGGCCGCCGGTCGCGACGTCGCCGCCGCCGTGCGCCGCCGAGGCGGGCAGCGGCCGGGCCCGGCCATGGGGGTGACGCCGCCCAACTGCAGCCTCGGCGCGGCGCTCAGCCCGCAGCCCGGAGCGGGGCCGGGCGAGCGCGGCTGCGAGAACGGGGCCCTGATGGACAGCTTCGGCATCTTCCTGCAGGGGCTCCTGGGCGTCCTGGCCTTCAGCATCCTCAT